TGCAAAGTAATAAGTGTAATTTATTGCTGAACTCGCGACCGAATATGAAGCATATGATTGTTGAGACATATTTTATAATAAATTATTTTAATAAATTTAGAAAGACTTATATACACGTATGTGGACGTCTTGTATATTAAGCCTTAAATTTTTTAAAATTTTTTAACGATCTTATTGATTAATATTTATTATATTTCTATTTCGATAACATGTGTTTACATCCTTTCTTTGGGATTTAATAGACATGGGAGGCGGGGACAAGAAGAATGAGATTTAATTTAATACAATATTTTTGTGTTTACTTTTATGAGGTTCGTGTTAAGAGACACTTAACACCTAATAAACACTTTTAAGATTTTCCTCACGTTATGACACAACCACTTAACGTTTATGAGAACTATGCATGATTCCGGCATACTTTATCGTTTCGCAATATATATATATATATATATATATACGTGCCAATGGAATTTGTCTTTTTACTACTTCGCACATTTACTTCTACGATCGTCGAATGAATGGGAAGTCGTGATAGGTCGATACGTGACAAAAAAAGGAACTTGTTTAGTTGGTTCAATAGCTCGTGATAATTGTCACCTGTATTATACACGTTCAGTTGGTTAATAAACGGTTAGACCATACATCCGCGTTCACTTTTTTGCTCTTACACATTAATAGCCAAAACGCTCGTTAAAGTTCTCTCTCTCTGTCTCTCTCTATTTTTTTTTCTCCTTTCTCTCTCAATAGTTTCAGTAATAAAAAACTTTGAAAAGAAGTGATCGAGAAAACCTGTTTTATTTCCACGTGCGTTAATTGGAGAGTTTTACAAATATCGGACATTTTTCCCAGCAAAATTTGTTTGTTAAATAATTGATTAAATCATTTATTATGCATTATAATAATGTGCAATAATATACCGGGTTATCAAACAACGATTAAAATGTATTTAACATAATAATATGATAATCAAGCTCTTCTGTCACGTCGATATATGCTAAGTGACTGTTACATGACTGCGATATTATAATAAATCAGCAAATTTCAGAATGCGAAAGAATGACAGTCGCGACAGCGCGAGTTAGTTTTTTAATTCCGATCGCGCTTGACCTTCAGGGTTTCCACGACTTCGTTATCTTCGTTACCGGCTCTTCTGTCTGCTCATTAGCGGGCGTGCATCGCGCGGCAGCGGTTCTTGAACTGCGGTTAATTGTTGTGGGAACTACTGCGGGTACAGACTTCGCGATGTTTCCGGGTAGAAAGACGCAAAAGTCCCGCGCGGTTTTATATTGTACAACGACACCCGTTCATTCCGCGTTGGGAGAGAAAACTGTAATATCAATTCTATACACGCTTCGGCACGTTGACCGACCTGCTCGCCGATGGGTGCGCGAGTCATTAATGGAGCGTTTTGTAACGCGACGTGGGATCGCTTCCTCCTCCGTGCGATCGGCATCGAACGATCGACGTGTGTGTGTGTGTGTTTATCTCGGCTGGATAAACTTTTTGCTCGTACGAGATTGTGAACTGCAGTTACGCAGTCCGCAATCTCTTGTCGCATCTGAACGATATTATCTCTCGAGTGATAAGAAACTCGCTTAGTTTCGAAACGGTAGTTATACCGACGTTTTGTACACACAACGTCGCTCGAGCTTGATTCGCGCGATTAGCTTATGATTAATCGAATTGGTAAAGCGAACGCTACTAGAATCGAAGGAATATTAAATTAAGATCCCACATTGCGCACTTCAACGAGAGATGTGGCGATTCAATCTTATCAGCTAGATAAATCCGTTGGCGGACAGTTGGATGCGAGCCCAGTTCCGTCAAGCATATAATTTATCAAACACAATTTTGCTCGCGCATTCGTATTGAAAATAGAGCGGTATTGTGAGAGAGAAGCGCACTTCGTATTGCAAATTCGATGTAAAAATAGCATGTAAATGGATCGTATAGAATGCTCTTAACGACCTGACTGAGTCATGTCGGAAAACATTGCGATAGTTAAAGGAGAACGAGGAAAATAACACACGAGGAAAAATGTTTCTCATATAAACAAAATAAAAAAAAATTGATATATAAACGAGCGTGAATTCGAAGAAGCAAATTTAAAAATTCATCGAGAAAGCCATCTTGAAAATATGTCGATAACAGCAAGCTGCTCTAAAAATGACGGGAATAAAATTAATCGTCGCGGACAAGCTGAACGTTTTATTCCAAAGGCGTTTGCGCCGGCATTAGCCGCGCAATTGACGATAGCGGTTTTGAAGTGATTTCCGAAGCGCATTCCGCGCGCACACTCGTACCTGCAATCACTGCACTCGATATCCCTCGGTTTCTAATCTAGTTTAGATTACGATAAAGGCCGGTCGTGTCTGCGCGTATTCCCTGAAAGGGAATAAAACGCGCGGAGCACTGGTGCACCTACGTGCGAATACGTGCGCGTTGACCGCTCCGGCCGGCTAGTTGGCGCCGACACCGGCCCGATGTATATCGAAGCAACGCGTAATAAACGGTGATATTGTACACGGCGATAGGCCGCGCGCGCATTACGTTTGCTACAACGAACGAATATAATTCTCCGCCGTGTAATCGCACAATGAGCCGGTCGCGCCGCGAAAAATCAACGCGATCGCGCGGCCTATAGAATGGAAACGGCAATTACTTAACACGCATCTCTCTTCCGTGCGCATCTCTCTACGATCGATCGGATACAATCTCCGATGCGTATTAATGCACAAATGGCATTTATTGCCTCGTTGCGCGGAATAAGCGCGAAGGTCGTATGTGTCAGTGTGTCGCGCGACGATGTTCGTGAATTTATCTCGGCGCGTTACTGCGCGCGTCAATTTGCCGCGAAGACAATTTCATCGCGAACGATATAAATTTAGTTTTGCCAATGAGATTCAATACCGACAAACAACTTAAAACAAAAATTCGCGCTTATCTGCGCGCGAAAACATTTAATCGACAATTTTCTGCAAATAGAGATGTAAATAATCAGAGTTTATCGAAGTTTTCATAACAAAAAAAATGTATGTTCCGAGAAACTCTCTCTCTCTCTCTCTCTTTCGTGATTAAAATCCGCTTTAGGAACACACACGTCTTAGATATACACAACGTGTTTCGCGGGAGGGTATGTGTATTTTGTCCCACGGCAGTTAAACAATTTTCTTTTATTGCGCTTCGTGTAGCACGAAATGCTCTCCGGCGACACGTTATTTCGGATGCTGTGTGCCTGGCTAGAAACCGTTGCCAGGAAAATAGTCACCTAAGACTCACGTGGGAGAATCGATCGTTAACTCGTTGTGAGCGGTGAGGTACATATGTACTTAAGAGTAGGACTAGCTTGTAGAGGCAGTCTCGTATACACCGCGCGCGCTCTCATATTTTCCTACGTCCCGTTTATTGAGATTGCTTTCCCAGAAGCGGACTAAAGTTAGATTCAAATCGACAGCGGTCATCAACGGCGCGCAATTCAATTTCAACGCTTATCACGGTGAAGTAATTGCTCCGAGTGTGGTGTAGAGGACACGGATGTCGCGATTTGCGATGTAAAGACCGTTCGAAACCTCTCCCCCCGAGACCGATTATAACGCACCGCGATCATTATGATTTTTAATCCACCGAGACAAGATTTAATATCTGTAATACGTGTGACCGCGCTGTAACGGTCGTTTATCAATGTCAAAAATTGTTATTTCACGCGACAAAAAAAAAAAAAAAAAAAACCGCAATAACGACTCGCCGCCATCTGCGTCGCCATAATGTCTCTCCGTTATTTTACGCACTGACGATCATTTAATCGTTTTCTAGTGTCAATTGTCAGAAAACGATCCTCGCGATATTCATCCGCGACGAGAGAGCCATAAGCGCGCGCACATGAAACGTCGCGTTAATCGTTACTAGACGTCATTGACGGATATATGTGTTGTTGCGAATTGTAATTGCAAATGACGTCATTATTTACAAATCTCGCGTAAGAGATAAGAGACCGAATATCTAATCTTAAATTTAAACCCAACGTGATTTTTACTTGCAAAGAACTTTGCCACACGCGAGCCGATTTCTTTTGCACGTCGTTACGTTTCTGTACTTTATGTTAAAATCATTTTTAAAAAACAAAGAAAACCTTATTCTATCTCTAGAGATTCTTATATTGTGACACATTAAAAAAATGTGTGACAGTTATCAAACTCGACAATATTATACTTTTAAACTATCAAAACTATTTTTCTTATTGAAAGTACATTTTTTTCCTCCCCCCGATGTTTCTTTTTCGCTTACGTAACATATTAAGAAATTGCTGTAATGTTTGTCTACTGTGTTTATTATGTGATTCTCAACGAGGTTCTATTTATCCAATCCGGGGGGGAGGGGAAGTGGGGGTTCAACCCCTTTATGGATCGACATTCACAGGTTTGACTCGTTTGACCACACGCATTCAGGCGTTCTATTTATTCAACCTGGTTGGGTGCCAAAGGTTTACCTCCACCAATCACACAGTCGATACAAACATGTCATATAGCTTGGTCTTATCTACATTGTATCTCATGTTATTAAACTGATGAGAATTAATGATCTTTCAATTCTTACTTACCTTCAAAGATTTATTTCAGTTAAACATTCTAAGAACATTTTGCTATAAATATTATACTATTATTTTATTTAATCGGACATATAAAAACAATTTGCGCGCAAAAACTTTTCGCGCGCATGATTTCAATGTTGTCCAATCCTTTATTTTTCGCTTTGCGTTCCAGCAGACAGGAATTTCCGCACAGAGAACTATTTCGCATTCATTCCTCTCGGTTATCTCTGTAATCTAATTATGAATTTCATCTCGTTCCATCGCACAAATTGAACTCAAATCGAATAGCTTTCCCGCTCCTGCATTATCCACGATGCATTTGTCCGGAAGTTACATTCAGTGACGACCGCGCTTCAATATCTATGTACTTGCTCCAACCACACTACTAAATACAATGCGATGCATAAATTACCTTTCTCCGGCGACCTCTTCCTGATGCTTCCGCCAAGTAGACTTTCTGCGCCCGCGATCTCTTCTTCCGCTTTTTCTCTCTTTCTCTCTTTCTCTCTCTCTCTCTCTCTCTCTCTCTCTCTCTCTTTCTTATCTGTGTGTTCGAGATCTCACAAATCGACAGACATAATAATACTTCAAAGCTGTTGATGCCGATCGCGATACCAAGAAACTGCACTCGCAACGCTTTTCCGCGTAGTTACGATTTCGATCTCGAGATATTGATCACTTTCTCGCGCGCGCACGGAGAGGAATCCTCGTCGCGAGATAACATCGATCACAAGAAGCGATCAAGATTAAAGAGTAGCGCGGAAATGAATCGGCGGGATTCTTTCTCTCTCGCTCTCTCTCTCTTTCTCTCTCTCTCTCTTTCTCTTTCTTTTTCTCACGTGTCTAGCGAGCTGCACCACGCACACGTATATACGTACGCACGTCGCGAGCAACCGATCGCGCGCGAGCTTCGAAAAGCAATGCAAGCGTGAGCGACACGCCGGGCTCTCGTTCCTTCCTACGTTCTTACTCGCACACGTCGAGTTCCTGGCTCGTGCTCTCTGCTCCCTCTCTCCCCGGGCTTTCCCTGTCCGTCTACCTCGTGGTCTCTCTTTGACTCCCTCTCTCTTTGCTGTGCGCTCGTTTACCATCGTGCTAAATCTCTCTTTCTTTCTCTCTCATTACCCGTATCTCTCTCTCTCTCTCTCTCTCTCTTTCTCTCTTCTGATCTTTGATGCTGACGAGTTTCTGTCCTTGTTGCTCTTTTTCTCTGTTACACCAGCAGCCGGGTAAATGTGATTGTCTTCGTCTGATGTTCTTCGATCTCCCCCTCTGTTCACGTTCACCTCCTCTTCCGTCCAGTTACAAATCTTTCCGACCTTTCCGCTCTCTTCCTTTCTCACTCTCTGAAATGTCTTCTCCCGTCTCGCCCGACTCGTCCTTGTCCGATCGATGCTGTTCTGATTGCTCCAATTTGATTTAATGAGTTTATCTTTTTTGCAAGTAAAACGGAAAAATAGATAACCGGCAATATTTGGTTTCTTTTCGCGATGATTGCTTTATTAATTTCAAATACACATTGCGATATCGTCTTCAAATAGTTCAACTAAAAATAAATGCATTTGAAATAAAAACAAGTATGTCGACTATTAAACAATTTCTTTATGGAGCTAGTCTAGGATTTGTAAGGACAAATCTTTTTGTCTATTGTTTTTATGATTTAGCGATACTTAGGACCGTACGTAAGTACGTGAGTTCCGTCTTGGTAAAGACTCTCTTTCATACGATCGTGTTTGTAGTCAAGACAACCTCGACAGTATGATTCATGAAGGTCAACTGACGTCTAAAGACGGCCCTAAATCATTTCCAATTTCATAGTTTCGAACGAGCGCTCGCTTGATTGAGCTTTTGAAATTTAAGCTCAGCTTAGCTCTTTCGTATTCTCAAGAGATGTCATTATGAAAATATTACAATATCCGCGCATTCCGCGCTGCGTTTAAATCAGGTCTAATTTAAAAGAACGACTTAAGATGATACCTCGCCAGTGAAATTCACTATGCAATTATCAGCCTGTCTCAAGACTACGTTATATCTATAAGTCCGCTCTAAGTCTCCGCTGACTGAACACACCACCTATATCCTCGACGTTCAAGTGCTTCATCTCTCTCTCGCTTCTTCGCAGAAAAACGAAGAGACTTTACCTACCGCACTCCACATCCGTTGCCTAGAGTCATGTCTGTAGACTTCGAGATTTCTTCTCCCTATCTCCTCTCCGCAATCGCCACCTTCGATCAGACACCTTTTCACTTTGCCTCGCCGTCAGCTGTGTTGTACTTCCTCTCTTATATTCATTCTTCATTTCACTTCGCATCCAGATCAAAGCATTCGCAAATATGCCAGATATTCGCTCTCTTATATATAACTGACCTAGTAATATAATCAAAAGACAGACTTTCTGTAAAAAAATAATGATAAAAAATTAATTAAAAATGTAGAATAAACTTTTTTTTAGACGTAACAAAGACTAAATGTATGAATTTTTTTCATTATTTTTAAAATTTTTTTATCTAAAACAAATTTTTTAGCTAAAATCAAGAGTTTCCCTCGAAAAAAGTTTATTCTACAATTTTAATTTATCTAATTAAGTATAATGATAGAACTGTGAGAACTATGTGCAGGTTGATATGCAGTTAATTTTTATTAATTTTTTTTTTAAAGAAATCAGACCCTTTCCGATTACTGAGTCATTTTGTACTTGTAAAATCTAATCTACTAATCGTAATATTAATTATAACGTGACTGTGTTAGATGTATCACGAGATTCAGAATTAATAATTTCAAAAATTATAATGACGCATATGATATTATAAACAAATAACATGACAATAAAATACACTCTATCGTTTTATATCTAACAAATATTTTGATATTTGATTTTCTTTCTACAATATTTTCGCACTTTCAACTGTTCATAATTTTTCTTTTCAACGCGAACATCTCGACAAAATGTTCCCATGAGTACTCAGAAGGCACTTCTACGACACCCACGTGTTGGGAGCAACTCTCTTGCGCATTTTATACGAGCAGATTGATCACTCTTATATCACGCCGTACAATATCACGTATATCACCGGAGATTGAATCCGGATACGGCCGTTCAACGGGCATGGGAGCAAGATACTAAGCAGTCACTTCCTCTTCTACATCCGTACCGTTTGTAAACAGCGACTGTAAACGGCGTTATTTTAGCAGTGATTTTGTTTTCGCAAAAGAAAATTATTGCTCGTAAAATAACGATGACTAATCTCACAAAGCGGTTCAGAATGAATCATCCGATCCAGAATATTCAGCGACGATGGAAATTTAATTCTCAAAAGTGAAAAATGCAGTGTATGCAATTCTATCTGAAATGTGATCGTTGATCCGTGATTATTTTTATATAACGCACACATATATCTTGTTATATTTCTCAGAGAAAAGTTTTTTAGTAATTAAAAATATATCCCCTCCCTTGTGCACAAAGTGATTACTATCACGTTAATATCGCGCATCTTATGCTTGACTTTATTTTATCTAAAATAGTAATCCGACGAGAAGTAGAAATACTATTTGAGAGATTGATAAAAAGAATACCGAGACGCAAGAAATTCAATAAATTATCATAGGAATCGAATTCAACTAGCGACATATGCACTTAAGCTCTCGCGTTTACGTCTTTATTTTATCACCAAGAAATTCCGTGGTTATCTCTCTCATAGTAACGGTACCACCGATGTGAGCTCGGGGTTTTACGTTTTTCTTTTATTCTCTTCTCTAATTTGACGTAGAAATAAGAGAAATTTGTATTTGGTAGAAGGACGAAAGAACAAACTAAGAACTACCTTCTCAACTGTTGTAAAGAGAACATTGGGTACATTTAAACATTTTGCTCTTTTAGCTCATACGCTGCTTCACGAACTGTATGACCGTTTCAGCCAGTTTCAATTAATTTCCACATATACCCACAGATGTCAGACAATGTCGAACCGTTTACCATTTATTGTCACACACACAAGCAAGTTCTTCAGGACATGTATTTTTTTTTTCAGTTTAAAAAAACATTTACATTTAATTCTGCACTTGCAAAGTAGAATAAAACAATTACCAACACGCTTCATTAAATTAAAATTTCTGTATTACGTAATAATTTAATAATGTATCTCCGCGCGCAGTTTTGTTTTGTATATCGCATATCGCATTTTTCATGTTGAACATTACACAATACGCATAGCATATTTGGAGATGCAGATTTTATTCATAATAACACACGCGTCCTTGATAAAATTCACATAGGTTACCGATCAGAAGTTACATTACTAATTAAACGGTGCCACCGAGAGAGATATAATCGATAACAGGATGCATGTGCGCGCATGCAAATTATTTCTCACCGCTTGTACATACAATTATCTATTCCGTTTGCAGGTAAGTGCATCTCGATATCCCGTCGTGGTGAAACTGGGCCACGCCCACGGCGGAACCGGCAAGGCTCGTGCGGAAACGAATCAGGAATTTCTGGATCTCGCTTCGCTGGCAGCTATGGCGAATACTTACTGCACGGCGGAACCTTACATCGACACCAAGTACGACGTGCATGTGCAGAAGATCGGGAACAATTACAAGGCTTTCATGTAAGTAAAGTTAATCGTAATTAAACAAATCAGCTAGATTCAAAGAAACGTGGCAGTTTGAAGAGAATATGAAAAATTAAATAATTAAAAGAAATTGAAGGACGTTGATTGTAAGAACCGTCACGCGATTCTCTCGATAACAAATTAATTAAAATCTTATTGGCGACGGTTGCTCAAAGAGCTCAGCTATGCTTTCGCTTTGATTCATTTACAGGCGAAAAAGCATCAGCGGTAATTGGAAATCGAACACCGGCTCGGCCATGTTGGAGCAGCTTTCTGTAAGCGAGCGACACCGCACGTGGGTTGATCACGTGGCTCAATTATTCGGAGGATTGGATATCTGCGCGATCGAATTGCTGGTGGGCAAGGACGGCCGGGAGCACATAATCGAGGTAAACGACAGCGCGCTATCTTTAATGGGAGACTCGCAGGAGGAGGATAGACGTCACATCGCGGACTTGGTCACCGCGAAGATGCAGGTGCGTGTTCAGGATTGCGCGCTCGCTATCGTGATTAGGCTCGATCACGCGTAAATGATTATTTACGATCCACAGGTTTACTGTCGACCGCAGAGCGTGTTGACGAAGACCGCCTCGCGTGGCTCGATGTCGGGCTCCAGCCAGGTGAGCAGCCCGGTGGAAGACCGAACTGCGCCTCCTACAGCACCCTTGGGATCACATCCAAGTATGGGCTCTATGGCTAGTATAGGAAGCTTAGGTTCTGTAAGTTCGGCTACAGTGCCGGGCGACGTCACCACCTCGGAAAGCCATCATCAATTACAACGACGAGACTCCCAAGGTATACAAAGTCTTCATTATGAACACGTTAATTTTCATATTTATTCGTAATTACATCTATATATATATTAATAAACTGAGAAACATGTATGTTTTTGATGACTTCTCAAATGTTAATTTTCGTATAACATGTATATACAATGTTTTTCTACAAGCAAAATTATATATATTTAATTCGAGAATCTCGATATTGCAGCCTCTCAATCGAGCACGGTGAGCAGCGCGCCGTCCGTCGGTCGGCGCGTCGAAGAATCGCCCGCGTCCAGAGTGCCGTTCCATCGACAAGACAGCCATCGGAAAGACAGTCATCGAGACGACAAATCGGAATCGAAACCTCAGAGCGAGGACACCGAGGACACGATGAAGAATTTGCGAAAGACTTTTGCCGGGATTTTTGGCGACATGTAGACCACAAGATATGGCCGACGCAGCGAGAGCGTAGACGTCGGGCGCTCTCGCGACGAGGTAGCTAATGATAGCAAGTCGGCACCAATAACACGAACTCATGAAATTCTCCGAAGATCTTTGAGCATGTTCCACGAGTGAAAAGCTCGAGACTTCGTCTCGCTCGATGCGTCGATCGCGCGAAAGTGAAGTGGACGCGCGTGAAGAGCACGTAGAGATATCTATATATTTGCAGATCGTCGTGGGAGACACACAAGCGAGGCTTACATTGTGTCGCTCGGAGTGCGCGTATATTTAATCGAAAAGAATAATCACTCATTTCTGGAAAAAAAAAAAAATCCAGGAATAATTTCGGTTGCCGTTCGATTATTGATCAGGCTATTAAGCGAGAAACACAGATGGCAATGATTGTGCTACGCGCGCGCCCGCGCTTCAAAATAAAATATAATAAAATTAAAAGATTGAAAAACTTATATCGCGCGCTCACATATATATAATATATATATATATACACGAGTTAAGAATTCAACGCGCGTTATCATATACATAGTACTGTATATTGAGAAAATCTTATGATCGTGAATGTGTGTGAGCAAATGAGTGCGTGTGTGTGTACATGCAAAATAAAGTAAGTTCCATATAATCCGTGATATACTTATTACGAGTAAATTAAAAGACTTATTGAGTAAATTTTAAATAAAGTTAGACAAAAGTTGAGTCGACACTGGCAAATTATTCAGTATCAGCTTGATGTTCGTTCACTTGCTAACTGCGATAATACCCACCACCAGATGAGACAGATTTTGCAAAAACCATATTGCCGCCCTTACGCACCGTAAAAAAGCAAGAAGAATCGTTTTTGTAGGCCCCTGGCATCTCCTCAACCGGTTTTACTTCGAGCACCCACTTTTAGGCTTAACGTTTGGATCGTCGTGTGTCATATTGTCATTTAAGGGAAAATGCATTGCGGGATAGAAATTAAGGCAGGCAATAGGCGTCTTTTTCGGGCGATCCCGCAATGTTTGTAAAAATATATATCGTACGCCTACGTCATTCGACACGATCGAAGACGACAAAAAAGAGGAGATTCGGGCATTATTATATCGCAACATATTTGGCTAACGGAGATCGTGCAAGCGGTCGTTTGCTTTCATCGAGAACTACAGAATCGGAAGGACGAATGTGTAGTTATCTCTACTTTTAAGCGCACAAGTAGTTGTTAAGATAATCAGGGATGGGCGAGATTTTTCTGGACACACATCGCGTGGATTTTCGACACTCAAATCCACGCGGGTACTTTCCTCAGGACGAGAGATATGTATCGATCGATCGATAAATTCGCTTCTTAATAAAATCGCTTCTTATCAATTAAAAAAACACACGTGTCGCAAAATTTTTCATTGATGATAAAACGTGGTCGCGCATCCCGACACTCTGTAGCGACCCTGCTTTTTTTCTAAATTTTTCGCACACAACGGGTCGTCGTCGAAGCTGCACAGGACGATCACGTGGTGCAAAAATTTATGACAAATTTCGGTCGCGCTACTTTATATAAGAAAATCGAATTTGCATTAGTGATATGTTTGCGTATGTGAAAACAAATGATGAGATCGAAAACGTAGTCTTTAAACTTCATCGATGAGAACGAATATATCCTCGATATATCCCAACGAGGCTTTTAATCGTGCTACGCGGAAATAAAAACTAACTCCCGATATATAGATCTGCAAATATATACATATATAAAACATGCGTGTGTGCAAATAAACTGAAATACAGTACCGACGAATGTATGTCAGTTAAACTGCACGCGAAAAGATACGCGAGAAACGAAGAAAAAGGTCAGTTGTATCGAAAAGTCGAGTTACTCGCTTTTAATGTCGGACTAACGAAGAGATGACTGAGATAAACGATCGTGGTTTCAGCTCTGAAAGAAAGGAAGAACATCGACTTCGCGAGACGCGATAAGCTATATCGAAAATTGTAGATTTTGCTGAAACGCGAAAGCAGTTAAAAAAAAAAATGTGATAAGAACTTGCGTTCGCAAGAAGTATCGATTTTAATATACAATCAACTGATAGAGATAAAATGGAGAACGTAAACTTATAGATGACTGATGAGAGAAGCGAAGTGCAAATTTATTTGAAAGTATAATCCTTTTTAGAAAAAAAAATTCTCTGTGTGTATAAACGGGGAAAAACTTTTTTACATTATACAGTTTTGTCGTGTCTCTTCTTCGCGGTTTTCCAACTGCACTGAATAATAAGTAATTGACGTTTGATTTTCATGTGCCTTGACACTGAAGTGTCCTTCGTATCACGTTGTTCGCGATATCACGACACGGTTGATGAAATATTAATGAACAAAGCTGAGTTTTTGTAAAAGTTACGGCAGATGCTGATCATCAATTCCTGCGAGGGTGGCTGGATAAAAAAAAAAAAAAAAAAAGAGTCAGATGTGTCGCGATTTCAAGCATGTTGCATCGCGCGATCACACTTAATTGTACTTTTTATAAACTTCGATCTCATTGTACATTCACTATTTCTTCATTAAAAAAAAATCTTCACCGCGACGCAGAAGACGGAGAAGTGTGTGCACCGTCCATCAGGCTTATATATTCGTTACGACATCTCTAAGCACGTTCGAGATCAAAGAATAATATGTTTTATACAAATAAAGTGCTTAGTAAATATCATAATTTTCGCGGCAAAGTACATAATCATCGGGATATATTGATAATCTTTGCTTACTTCCGCGTGATAGTGGATTGTCTTCCATGTGTTGAGAACTGACGAATGTTTTCAGCATTACATAGGTGAAACACACACTCACAGACAGCCGTAAGCGTTCGAGACGGGACTAAGTTTTTTAAACGGTGTGATTTACACTCTGTTCTTATAACTCACGTGATAATATTTTGCAAAAATATATATTTCACACGATTCACACGTTAAAATTCATTCGGTGTTAATTTTTTGTTTATTTAAGAAAAAATTAGTTTTTTTAACAAATTACATAAATGATATAAATACAGAAATTTTAAATAATTAAAACATTAAACAGGGGACGTAAAAAAGACTGCACAAAAAAAAAACTTACGCGACTGATGCGCACGAACAATTAATTGCGAAAGATCTCCGATTCCGTTTTCAGAGCTGACGCCACGGTAAGAACAAGCAAGCAATCAATAATCACGTCAATGCGCGGAGGTCAATCGATCAGCAGCAAATGTGTAGACACGGTTACAGGTGAAGAATATCTCAGGGTGCGAGTATAGACGCTAGATAAAGTAGGACACTAGAAGCGGCGCGCGTCGCAGTCTAGTCGAAGTAACGACGTCGACTTCATTAGAGCGGATAGAGAATAGGATTCGCTTGTTGTGTCGGAGAAATCCTTGACTGTGATCCTCAGAATTGTCTGTAAAGAGACAAAAAGAAACAAAAAACAAAACTTGTTTCGCGCGCATTTTGTTCGAGACGAGTCGTCTTCCGTATATTTCAGTAAATGCTTCACACGCACAATTAGCGAGTGGTTTAACCAAAGTTTTCTGTTTTTCTTTCAATACAACTTCGAGCACATTTCATCGACATTTTGTAAAAACATATATATATATATGTATATATGTAAACTTTCCTATGTAATTAATAATCTAATTACGCTAAAAATATTAATTTAAAAAATGTTCTTATGTTATTCTATTGTCAATTTCAATCGTTTCACTAATTTTCGCGCGTGCTCGACTGTTGTAAGGTTCGATCGTTCGAACAATTTGCGCGTGACAACCAATTTCTTGATAAATAATAGCGACACACAGCGTCGCTATTGACATTTCGTTGCTTGCTATCATAACTTATCGAAGCGTTATATATATATAATACCCGGCTTAGTTACGGTGGCCGTGTGATGTCGTGAACAGCATCCAGTATTATTATTATTATTTTTGTGTTAAAAATGCACAGAATTGCACTTGTAGCTCGATAATTAACGCACCAGCAATATTCGTAGATTAGATCCGTACCTATTAGATATCGTATATCGTGTCTTCAAATTTCCTAAGATTACTTCGTCTTTTGCTGTGTACACATGTGACTGCGCTAATACGATTATCGCACGTAATCGAACTCAGCGATAATAATATACGTATAAGCATGTACATACATATTTCAGCTCCACATTACGTCTCATGTAATATAAAAATATATGTGATCGTGAGAAAAAAAAAAGAGCGAGAACAGATGTTGCTATCTTCTAGCATTTTTTCTAGACGACGTAACATGTTTATCTTCGTGTGTTGTAACATCAAATTTCAGAAAAATATCACGATCACAATATCAGAATCTGTTAATCGCGGAAGCTTTTTCGCGTCGTCAGAAAAGATCGACTTAAAAAAACAAAAAAAAAAAAAATGTTGTTGAGCGAAGAAATTCTTAAGTAAGAGTCAAACGAACAAATTAGATTTAGCGACGCCTCGTAATAGTGATTGCGTTAATTATTGCAGACACTACTTGAATGTTTCTCACAGTGATCCTCCCGATTGTTGCGCGAGAGAATCGCGCAGTAATATTCGCGAATGTGTATGTATTTCGCGCATCCTGTTGTTACGTAACGCGCTCGTATTTACGTATATATAGCCTTCTATGTGCTTTGTGAGAGCATTTGTCACTGTACATCGAGGAGAAATCTTTTACGTACATATCAAATTGACGCGGCACGACTGACGAGTCCAGTGCCTTTTGTTCAATTTTTTCTTTTGTTTCGGGGCAGTAGTGGCATGGAGTCGTTGTAGTAATCCCCTGTACATTCCTCTGTATCTTCTTTCTTCCACAATGTACAGTAGAATAGCTAAATGTATTGAATTTGTACGTGTGTTGTTTACACTATACGCGACATGTTTTAAGGAATGAAATGATGAAAATTTCTGTTAAGTATAAATAAAAACTTCTGTGTCGCATTGCTACTCGCTATAACGTTAAAATTATCGATAGTACCTAATACGCATATATATACACATATATGTGTATATATATGTGTATATATATATATATATCTAAATTGTGTGCATATATATATATATATATATACATCTAGATTATGTAATCTCTATAACAGAAAATTGCTAGTAGTAATCTCTAGCTTTAACAAATGTTCACAAGAACGACATTATCGCGCAAGACTTTATGCGACTACTGCAAGGTCAATAATCGAATAATCGTAAACAATTGATAGTTGCTTATTAACGAAAAAAGATAGAGAAACGTTGCGTTAATCTGTACTTCGGTCAAAGGCTTCTTCGCGGAACGTGATCAACGTTTGCTCCGTCAGAATCTATTTAATTTTAATTTCGCGATTTACAACGAAAGCGCGAGAAGCGCATTTGTTTTTATTTTGCGACAAGCAGAGAAAAATAGAGTGCGCATTATAGATTTACCCCCGATTACATGACCGCTCGTATCTTGAGATAATACTTAGTGTTTATCTAATGTAAGTGTTGAAGTAAAGTTGTGTATGACACAACGAAGAGTTCGAGAAGAAGCTAAGAAATAAAGTAGCTATATGCATGGGGACGCGATTGAGTGTACACGCAGTCCGATCTTGAATCTACTTAAATCTCTCGGCGCTTAAAACAGTAGCAGTAGGGATAGGCATGAGGACGCGATAAATGTACGCGCAAGTCCAATATGCAATGCGTTATCTCCTTGATTTCAATGCGTGCTAGTCATATATATATATATATCTACTCACATGCATACAACCACACGAATCGTTGTGCAAAAGGGAAGAAAGTTGCCCTTTCGCGCGCTGTTTTCCTTCCGCTGTTCACCGCTGTCAATCGGCTGCTGACAGCTGGAGGATAAACCGGCATCGTAATAAAAGAGGAACTTCGTTTTCTTCTCGTGAGACGACGATTCGATACCGGTCAGTGTATAAAAAAAAAAAATTTATATCAGATTATATCCCAATTCCTGAATCCACAACGAAAGCGCGAGAGAGACTCATCGTCCCATCAGGACAGAGTAAACGCGTTCACAATTCTTGTGCGAAATACAATTCTAATGGGAATGTACGTATATACTGAAGATATACGATACCTTTTCATTAGTGTAAGTCGCACATGATACACACAGATACACATATGTATGACACAGACACAAACTTGCAACGCGCAAACTTGCAAATCATATCTAATGTTGTGTAAGTAACATTAGTGTATGGTGTCGATGTTACACGAGACTACTTACCACTTACGTATCTAGTATATAAGCCTAAGAGAAAGAACTTAAGAGAAAAAGCACTGCGCTTGAAATATAGCAAATAACAAACATATAAAAAAAGTAGCAAGTATACGTGAATATATAAGCGTTGAATATACATATATGCGCCACCCGACACCACGTGTGTCAGTAAATCTCACTTCGTACGCGTATAAACGAACGCGTACACATAACACACAACGTTGCAAGTTGTATTGCTAATGCCGCATAAGTAACATTATTTGTACGGTGTCGATGTGTTACGATAGTAAGTACTTAAGTACGTGTCTTTAAATATAAACCTACGAAGCTCAAGAGACGGCAAAATGTCATTGAGCGACGGTCAATTTAAACATATGAATAAATAAGAATAGCGAGCATGCTGAATGGTGCGTATGTCGAATATATATGTACATACGCTGCCCAGGATTATGCATTAGTAAGTCACACATGCACGCGTACACAACATTGCAAATTGTATCTAACAAATGACGTTATTGTGTCGATGTTATGGTAATACTTAGCACGTCTATGGTATAAATACGTGTCTATAGTATATACTTACGCTTAATAAAGCAAAGAGAAAAAGTAGAAAGCATGTGGAAATGTGCGTATGTCAAATATATATACATATATATATATATATATATATATATGTATATATATATACGCTGCCCGGTATCGTGCGTTAGAAATCACACATACGCGTACAACATCACACTCTAACATTGCAAGTCCTATTTAAAGTTGCATAACTAACATTATTGTCACGAGAATACTTAGTGTAAGAATGCATACTTATAGTTCTAGTAGATAGAACATAAAATATATACATATATATATATTATGTACTGTAGTTTATAGTACATAGAGAGTTATACGGCACTTTTAATAAAGCTTTAAGAAACTCGGAAGAAAAGAAAAAAACAATGTCATCAAGCGAGACGACCAAAGAGCAAAAAAAAAAAAAAGTAGCAAGCATGTGGGAACGTGCATATGTTGAATATTATACGCTGTCCGGTATCGTGTATATTAGTAAAACACACATATGCATAAACATACACGACGCGGATATCGCGTGTGGATAAATCCACGAAATACATACAAATTGTATCTACTGCTGTATAAGTAACATTATTATTATACGGTGTGTCGATGTTATTTAATCCGTGATCATTAAAGTCATCCTATAGTGCCGAGGAAATTATATATTGAGGATATTTACCGTGTTAAAAAATTATCAAACCGGTACACACATACATACACACACACACACACACACATACTTAATTATTCACATCTCGAGAAAAGAGAAGTAATTTATAAATAGACTCGTCGATTATGTTAATCCTCAAAATTAACATAATCGATCGGAAATTATGCAAGATATACGGGGATATATACTCTATATTAGATTAGTGGACGAGCGTCGATGAGTGAGCGCGATCGTGTTCGTCGTGTTTTCTCGAGCGAATGATCCTCACTGAGAGCAAAGCGTGTTGATCATGCACTCGCAGAGAGAAAGGGAGAATCGAAACGTGACGCGTCGATAATTACGAACAGACCACCCACACGGAAGAAAAGGGTAAATCGAGATACACGATCGACTCGTTGACCGCCACGTGCTCGGAAACGCGCCGCGACGACTATCGAATTCGCATTTGAACGACAAACCTTGAATCGAACTCTGAAACACAGGCGATGACTTCTGAGTATTGTGCGCGAAACGAGATCTGATCGTCCAGAAAAAAATCGATACAATTACAGAAACTTTATGTGTTCGAATTGGTAAAAGTGAACACACACAAATCTAATTAAGTCAAGTTTTATAAAATATGTTTAATGATAATTTCAAAAAGATTAACTAGATGTTTTTGCAAAACTTTATTACTGGCCAAAATAACTTATTTTGAGTAACAGAAGCATTCAATAGTAAATATTATTGATAAATCTTGGTAAAGGTAGTGTCTTACCGAAACAAGAACAGGAATGCAATATGAGATTGATGATACAAAAAATAGACAAATTTAGTGACAATTACACGATCACCTTTCTGGTCACGCGAGATTGATAAGAACGCAAAATAACAAAAGCAGAGAAGATCGAGAATTCGTGAGGAGCACGATGACAAGTGAGCCGACGCATTTTTTGTTTCAACACACGATAAACTCACACTTAAAATCGTAAGCGTATTTTTACTGATAACTAGGAGGACAACGAATCAACAGGACTCGTTCTGAGCGGTGATTCGAACGGTGAAAAACCAATTGAAAAAATAATTGAAGGACGACTACATAGAGCAACGTCCGAGTAGTGTATCGCGTGCGCGTAGATTAGCATTGCACTTATCACTTATCGTAAAGTAAAAATCTGGTTTAAGTAATAAAAGTGACGCGGGAGAGGATAAAAAAAATTACACACATAAAATGCGAGTTCTATCTGTCATCGTTAATCAATAAAGATTATCAGAGTTTGAAATCCAAGTTTAAGCGAGTCGAAAACAAAAAAAAAAGAAAAAAACCACAAGAGTATATACATAAGTTTATAGTCTATAGCAGACATATACGTGAGGAAGTGTAGTACAATATGTATGTTAACGAGAATGTGTATAAATATATAAAAGAATAATAATATTTATCAAATAGTATATATATAAAAATATATATAAATATATATAAAAATTTAACAATAAATATATAAATACAAACGCGCATACATCTGTAATTATTCTTATGTTATATGCAACGTACAGTCGTTGTGTACACTTTGAGGTAATCGTTGCGATCAAGCTCGTCGTTTCATCAAAGAGCTAAAACGCAATGGCCTAAAATGCTCTAATAGGCTTGCGAAGCGTGAGGTTTGACTAAGGCAGATCGAAATACCACTTAAATATGTATTAACAAAAAAAGAAAGAAGCGCAATCGACAACAAGCATCGTGATGATCGATGTTTATTACTCGTTAAAAAGATCTTTCTCATAATAGTTGATAAGATGAAAAGTAGAAGTAGTTAGTAGTAGATCATATTTGCGGAGCGAAATGATAACGTCACACAAAGCATGTCGTATCTCTCTTGCCTACGTACCATAACGGGTGCTATCATAGATAAAACGATGTATGAAGTGAAAACACGATAAAATATTGGAGATTGATCGGGTGAGATTGTAAACTTTGTTTTTAATTTTTTTTTACTCGCGTAGCATCGATTCCTGGCATGCTCTATTGACAGTAGCGCTTCTTCTTGTGTAACATTTTTGTATGAGATTTTATCTATAATCGAAAAAAGGCGTCTCTTTAAAAAAACAAAAAAAAAACAAAAAAAAACAAAAAAAAAAGAAACAGATTATGATACTAAGACTTTTCGATTATGTCACAATGAATATTTTTATTTGACTGACAAATTATTCAACATCTTTGCAAGGACAACGATGTAATAATTATACAAACGCGGACGAAAATTACAATAAATATTTTATATTTCTGAAAAGTTTCACTAGAGAGAAGATGTGAGACGATTTCTTCGGAGCGCTCAATTTTTGCGCGTTGCTCGTACTTCATCGAACAATATCAACAGAACAATAGCAATTGATAGCAATTAAAATGGATGCACTGATTCTACTCCAAATAACAAAAAAAAAGAAAAACAAAATATATATATATATATAAAATATATCAGCCATTATATTCATCCTCCATTACTGTTGCCATAATAGATTATAAAAACGTTTTTTTCCTAGTCATTATGATTGTTGTCATAAATCTTATTACTCTTAAAATACATGTGTTATAACAATAGATCACGACTATAAATGTCCATTATGTTACATATATATGTATGTATAAATATAGATATATATGTATGTTACGTTTGCCATTGCGTGGACTTAGCGTTACCATAATATATTACGACATTAATGTGAAGTGCATAAGTAATTTTACTGCGGGATATTTTACCTGCGAGATGTTATAAATAGCAATTACCACGACACTGTTTATGGCAATGTTTTTTTGTTTTCTAATTAACGATTGAGCAATACGCTCGAAAATATATACGATCGCATTTCCGTTAATATAATGACAAAAAACGAAAAATAATCGTACATTGTCCATATTATAATCGTTAATAAAAATAAATCGCCAAACAGAACGCCAGACCTGTCACATATTAGTATGGGATGTTGTGTACTTCAAAGACGTCCCGATGTAGAACCTGTTATATTATTATTACGTTTAATGAACTGGTAAACTGAACTGTAATAATAAAAATATAAAAGAGCATAAAGTCGTACGTGTTGTAATTTTTTGTGTTAATCACCTTTGTATGTTGCAAAATTATCTTCATCGTGTGTAATTTTACGTCAATTATGTGACACAATTAGCTCCACTTTAAAGTGTTACAAATTTGAAAGCAAATTTAATATTTTTTATAAATTAAGTTACGATATTTTAACGATTTTAGCAGTTTTACATTTTATTGTAAAATACGTGTTGGAGAAACACAGTTATACAAACGTATAACTGTGTATATGAGATAATCACTTTCACAGGAAGATCAAGAACTGAGCATAAAAAAAAAGAATAAACATTCGAGTAATATTAAACTTGTACATACATTACACAGATACACCTGATGGATATCTCATTATTATATGTTGAAGGTAAATAAAATGAGTTACAAAATTACGGGAAGCATTTAGAACAACGATTTGTCAAGTTCTGTGTTGAGAGAACAATTTTTGTACATCCCTGCGCGGCTCATCTCGGCGCTAAAAGAAGTGTTTCGAGGATAATAAGACGTCGGGACTGTGTGAATTGCGGGTGCGTACCAGCCGTAATCCATGGAAGTCTTGATGTAACAGGGATGAGGAGAATTGTCTTGGCCGTAACCTTTGAAAACTCCTGCGGAAATCAGATATTTAAGTTATCAATAAACAAATCACCATCACGTTGACTGTGATTAAAATTGCCCATAGCTTTATTATTAGATCTTTTTTATAATACAAATAATAGAAAGAATTATAAGTCTCGGAACGAATGTCACAAGTTTTACAGCTTAAGTAATTAAGACAATTAATTACCCTCTTCTCTTTCTGCAATCTGGTATAAAAATTTAAATTTATTAGTTGCAGCTGTTTTAACACGATAAATTGTTAAAAGTGAAAATTGAGAATTATTACACACACACACTGTGACAGTTCTTATAAAAACATATTTCTTACATATTCACAGACATACATTTGTAAATGTGCACAAACGTCTCGCCTAGAAACTCTAGCCAATTTTTCGAGTCTATAAGTCAATCTCCGTACAATCGTACGGTGTCTGATACGCCTCATTGTTGCACTGATAGCGACCGTGAACAGTTGCGTAATCATTTAATAACGAGCCGTTTATCTGAAAGCCAGGATCTACAGTTACGTTCTTCATTCTCGCGAACGCCGTCATATCTACGTAACGGAGGTTGTTGTTGTTCAAAAACAGATACAGCAAATTGTCCAGACCTAAAAAGGTGTCGGACTTCAGCATCGTCAACTGATTGCCATTCAGCCAGAGTGAATTCAACGACTTTATGTGCCGAAAAACACCGGACGGAATTGTTCTCAGCCGATTCCTGCCCAGATCGAGCTCGTTTATCTCGCTGAGACCGCGAAACACGTCCGGCTGCAAGAAAGAGATCTTGTTGCGTGACAGATAAAGAAGGTCTATATGCGATAGCCCGTTGAACGCGCCGATCGGTATCTCCGATATGTCGTTCGAGTCCAGGACCAGCGTTTCCAGCTCTCTGAGTCCTTTGAACATGTTTCTTCTCAGCACAAGCCGGTTGTTGGTGATATAGAGCTCGCGGAGCTCCGACAGGCCTCTCCACACGCCGTGTCGGAAGTCCGAGATGTTGTTGTAATCCAGTAGCAGTGTCTCTAGATCATTCAGTTTCGCGAACGCACCCTCCTCCAAATTGACGATTGTGTTGTTTCTCAGGTCCAAATAGGTGAGTTGATCGAGAGCGGCAAAGTAATGTCGACCGATATTCGACAGTTTGTTGTCGCGAACGTAAAGAGCAGAAGAATTGGCGACCTCAACGAAAGACTCTTTGGCGATGTCAATAATTCCGAGATTCTCCAAGTGGAGCTCGATGTCCTCGATTGTCTGAACGGCGTTGACGTCCTCGAAAGTAACACTGCGAAGAACATCGGCCGTCTCCAAACAGACATACAGGTGGTTATAAACTTGACAGTCGGCGTCTTCCGTGAAAACATTCGCGACGTTGCCCAATAAGAGAAAATAAATAAGAAGAAGAAAGCACATGGTCTGCTCGGAGATTGAATGTGCACTAACCTCGTGCGCGTTCCAGAAGTTTCTCAGAGTCAGTGTGGCTCGACGTTCGTAAGATATTATTATACGAGCATACATCAGCGATCAAGTTCTTACCAATACACGCATACGCGCAACTGAGTGACCTCTCGCGTTATCTTGGCTTGGTTATTAATTTACAAATCATCTGCGCTGCGTAACACGCAGATGATTTGTAAATCGCAGATATATAATTATCAATAATGTTTTAAAAGTTAGTAGATAAAAACTTTGATAATTTACAGCTGCAACTAAGTAAACAAACACTTGAACGAAAGAAGATTTTGCATACAGCAGATTTAAATAATGAAAATTTTTGTATTCGGTACATGTAAATAAATATTCTTTGCATTGCTTGCACAATATAAATGTTTTTTGCAATTGTTCTTATGCTTGCCAGAGAGCTAGGCAAATTATTTCTATCAATACAAATTTTAACTACATATCTAATGCAATATGTATTATATAATTTACACACCGACATGTGTACACACAAATTTAATCGTAATATAATATATAAATATAAACCATAATAAAACAAAAATTTATTTTTCTATCTGTGTTTTAAGACTTTTACTATTAACAAATATAAATAATAAATATTTCCTATTGATAATAGTGGTTTCTCCAACAAACAGCTAATGTATTTGCGCATACCGGAAAACAAAGAGAAATTCATCATTAATGAATAACAAAACCATATCGGGATCTCGCAGAACGTACGACGATAAAAGTTTTAGGCGCCACTCGGTCCATGCATGAATCACGTTCACATTTCAAGACGAGTTACTTGCTAAAGATTTATTAAAACGTGCATTAAAAGACTTGTGCAGAGATAAGATTCGACGAGAGCAGTGATCGACTGTGTTGGCTTATTAATAGCTGAACATTATCATGCAAACCACTTGCGAGTTCTGAACCGGAATTATTTACATCAAAACAACATATATTCTCGTGCGACAGAAATTCTTATTATAGAATACATAATTAATCAGTATTGTTGAAAAACATTTTTTGTCAATAAAACTACTTACTCGGATATATAAATCTTGATGGAAGATTAAAAGTCTGATAAACATCATCAGTACGTGGACCAAGCGCGGACGAATTTTCGTTTGGATAATCTAGATAATCTTTTTTGTCACTGCAAGAGCATGGTACAATGACCATTTTTTCAGTCTATTTACTTAATACGGTACAGTTTTGAATTTTATTATATAATTTTCAAGGATTAATGCGCTACACACATTTAAATTCACTTTCGTTCAGTCAGAAGTCAGCCATGATTGTTCGGTTGCCGCAGAAACAGTAAACATGATCGACTAAATAGATGGAAATATATGATGTGTTTCCAAGATACGCATTTATTCAATGACGTTAGCGCCAACTAATAAGAATTCTGTTTAAAAACAATAAAATAGCTTTTGACGGAATATTTGGATACAAGATGTTTTAAAAAAGTCGTGCGCATGTAATAAAAAGTGTGTGAGTAATCAAAAACATTTTGATAAAAAGTTTGACGTCATGAAATTTAAATGATATAGAGGAAGCCCAATACGAGGTAGTGTACTGGTTGATCGTGTACATTAACAAAACTTCAAAAGATGTGCATCTGTGTTCAGTCAAAGAACGAACAAGAAATTCTTACATGATGTTTGTCAAGAAGAATACCCTTCTGTATAGTAGATGAAACTAAGATTTATGATTGAGTAGCTAAACACTGATAATGAAAAAGTATGTAATTTTACACATGTATATAATATTTAAAACCTTAGAGATTTTATACGTATGTATATGTGTATGTATATTTAATAAAAATTATATATATATTATATTGTAATTTACAATAATATATCTCTTAACTAGTTATACATATATATAATATATATGTATATAAATATATCATAATATATTAAAAATAACAAATATATTAATTTAATGAATTATATATTGTACATATATAATTTTATATATACATGTATATATGCATAACTATATTGTATATATAATTATATTTATATATTTTAATAGTTTTAAATTACTGAACTAATTAAATTAATACATTTTGTTTTTGTTCACATTAATTATAATCGTCGAGAATTAATGATGTTTTCTTGTATATAAGATAGTTTTTAAACTGTTATATAACAGAAAGAGAAAATTCTCTCGCGTGACATTATTTATGACCTTGGTCGTAAGTAAGAGGCAAAAACAAAACTATCAAAAACAAAGTGAAAAATGTGTCTCTCAGAAATCCGGTATATTAATTCCGAGGATAAAATATTTTAATAGTTTTTATTCATGGAAGAGCTGTTTATATAAAAGGTGTGTAGTCCGCACAGCTTCAGTATCTTATAATCACGAGTTACGTACACAATGGCTTCTCTAAGTTGCACTGTAACAATATTAGTTACAATTATTACGTTTACGTGCGTAGCAGCGAGAGAATTTTACGACAGCAAACACGATCTCTTGGATATCCGTAATGTATTGGAGAACAAAGAGGAACGAACGGATTATTACAATTGTTTTATAGAGGCAGCTCCTTGCAAAACTGATGCTTCCAAGTTTTTCAAAGGTACATTTATATAATATTACGTAAACTTAATCACAAATCAGAGACCCATGGCAAACTAACGTCAAAAGAGCAAAGTTTACTGTTATAAACTAAGTAATATAAAATAAGTAATAAATTTTAATTTTATTTTAATTGTAGAAATATTTCCTGAAGCTCTTACGACTCAATGCAAAAAATGTACACCGAAACAGAGCGAAATTATGAGAACAACAATCGAGTGGTACTTAGAGCATGAGCCTTTAAACTGGGCTCATCTCGTTGCAAAAATCATAGAAAATTTAAGAAAGAAAAATACCAACACTAATCAATAATTATGCGTACTAAAAAGCAGATAATATTGTTTGTTCCAGAAACACAATGCAAAACAATAATTGTGGTAAAATTATTGCATTCTAATAAGAGAAAAAATATCCAGAATAATATATGTGATGTATCTATTTCTTTAATCAGTGTTTGTATTGTAAAATTATTAATTAAATTTATACAATTTGTTAAAGTAATAAAATTTATATGCATATATTGATATTTTTCACGTTAAAATTAATCCAAGATTATAAAATGTCAAAATAAATCTAAAATTGTAAAAATAACGTGCACACTTGTTATTTATACATACCTATGCACACTGTTATATATACGTACACTTTACAATATACTTTATGTGATACGTATTATTTTATATACACTTATTTTAAANTACTCTACAATATATCTTATTTTATAATTTTACTTTTAAAATACTTAATTTTTTTATATTTAATATAATGTGTAATATGTGTAACACCTTTATTGATGTGAATTTTATGACATCATACAATAATAATAACGTATAGATTTAATTATTTTTGTTTATATTACTTATAATTGTTGAAAATTATGATTTTTTCTATACATAAGATATTGCAAAATGTTGAAACTCACGCCTGCAGACAGAGATTTTAATTAGTTATATACTGCTATTATACGCAGTAACAACTTCTTCGACACTCCTAATAAAAGATTTTTATCTTTATCTATAATTAAACTATTTAACTCTAATTTTGTTTAATTTATAGTAAAGTCAATAATGTAAGTTGTATTATCGTCATAATAAATTATTAGGATAACAATAATTATATTATTACATTACTTCCGCAAGTACGATGAACAATAAATTAAAATTAAGATAAATAATAATATACACAATGTTATTATTTTATTATATTATTGCATACTAATGCTATTTTAATCGAGTGATACTTAAAGCGTGATCCTTTATCAGGTTTGTCTCATTTCAAAAGTCACACTGAATGTGAGGAAGAAAACCAGCCAAACTAGTAGATAATTATGCGTAATAAAAACAGAATAATGTCGATTATTCGAGAAACACAATGCAAAAGAATAAATGTGGTAAAATCAGATAGACCTTATTGACATAAAACGACCTTCAACAATGTAGAAACATAGGTGCACATGTAAGTATCAATATGCATTCACGTTCTGTGTTCTGTTTAACATCGTAATTGATAATTTATCTCCTACATCAAATTGGTTTTTGTCTCTGTAATACACGTTTATATTTATTTACGTCTATATTTGAGAAGAAATTAATTGTACATGTGTTATTCAATAATGTATTTCTAAAGAAAGATAATGTAAAATACATAAGATAGAAATATATATACAATTTTTTTTATCTAAAAACCAAGACAGAATTTTTCTTTATAAAAGTATACGTATACATAATATATTTGTGTGTACATATATGTACATATATATGAAATATTTTCTTTTACAAAAAGTAAAAATTTCATTTTACCACCGTTCCAAAATGAGCAAACGCAAGAAAGAAATGTGGTGCCGAAATCGAGGTCATAGTCACGACCGGTAATCAAGATAATTATTATTTATATACATCTGTGTGTCTATATATTGTTGAAAATCATTCTATAATAGCATTAATATACAATTACACATTGTATATGGTTTATCTTAATTTTAATTAGCATGTGTTTCTATAATTAATTCAAAGAACACTTGTACGTAAAGATTGTAATTGAGAAACACTAAGAAAATTACGTGAAATTCCATTAATTTGTTAAGATTTCTTTACATACAATTACACACACACAAACTACATTTTCCTTAGAATTTTACAAATATTGTCTCATTTGTATCAAAGTTTCAACCACGGAAGTAAAAATTTATGCAGGCACAGATACGGGTCCCCTCTAACTTAGATTAGGGTCAACAGACTTACCAGGTGAGTATAATGAGGCTTCCTAATATTTTATACATTCAAGCAAAGTTTACAGTACATTATCGCGCTCGCTGATAAACAAATAAGTTTTTCTAACCGTATGAAGGACAGTAGTGAAACACGGTGGACATTAAACAACACGGACTATTATATAATAATATGCAAATAATAATATTTTACTGCTTAAAATATTTGATTTTAACATACGCATATTAAATTTTGTTCGAAACACATCAATATATGTTGTTTAGTGTTTTTTTTAATAAAATGTCACTATTGTCAAACATTTTATTCAAATAATTATTATAAAAAACAAAAACGTATGTATAAAATATATTGTATACCACACTTGTCTCAGTCAAAAGTTGCAATATATTGCAATATATCCGTAATGTACACGTGCTTTTAAATCTTCATGTAGAATAATACAAACATACATTTACATGATGACAGGTAAATAAATCCATCCAAATATACGTAAACGAGATTTATTCTAAAAGCTATGACGATGTCTTGTTTATTACGCGACATATTGTTTATGGTGCATCCAAATGCACAAAATAAAACTTTACGTTCTTTTTGTCACAGTTCCACCTCCATTAACAATGTCGAACGACAACGCCTGTAGGTATATAGACGTAATGAAGCGATTATCATCAACGGCACTTCCAGTTGCGGTCTGGCTACCAGAAAGGAATTACTCGCTCGTGATAAAAAGTCTGTTACGTTGTGCGTTGTGCATAAAATTGAGAAAGAACCATTGAAATTGTGCGAACTCTCAAGTGTAGTAAAATAAACAAATGTACGCGTGAAAAATATTTTGTAGCTGTCGAGACTCGTTCGTTACAACTTGCTAAAAGTTTAATTACATTTTCGTGAATAATATGGTGTCATATCTTACATGTTAAAATGAAAATAAATTGTAATTTAACAATTATTACATATAAAAATATAGCGTTTTAAGTTGTTTTGCAGAGAAGTTTTTCTTGTCGGTCTAGTAAACTAATATAACTAATATTGATTACTACATAACAATACTAATATTGATTACTATTAATTAGAATACAAAATTACATAATTTTTTATTTTATCTTATCGTACTGACAGTAAAATGCTTGCCTTAAGAATTGGTTAATAACTCACATATCGCTAATACGCGCACAAGCGCACATTTTTTGCACTTGAATAAGTTCACACACGTTCGTGCGTATTTCAGCGGCAGTTTTGTCGCGTTTTAAATTTGTATATTACATATTATATTTATTTACTGCATTTGTTTAGTTCTAGTATATATAAAAATAAAATGCACGATAAAAATATTATACAATTGTACACAGCAACTATAGAGTAAGTAAAGACACTTATCATTTATCATGCGCGCACTTGTATCCTGTAAGTTTCAAGGTTATTTATCAGTATATTCAGTTGCAACTGCGGTGTTGTGTAATTATAACAGCGTTTCCCATACTAATATTTATGTGTCGCTGTGTTCACGAATTTACATATGTTAAACGTAATATGTGTCGTACTTCATATATAAATATTTGAATTCGCAAATGCGTATTAACTGATAACTGTCATTTTTGCGAGCATCTGTGAGAGAATCGATTAAGAATGTGTTTGTTACAAAAAGCATAAGTCATGGCAAATATCTTAAACAATAGAAAAAATCTTTGATCAATGACCGAGTTAAAAACGCTATTGTGAAAAATATAAATTTCGGTAAATAGAATATATAAAAACGATAGATGTAAAATAACCTGATATCTGTTATCCGTAAATGTGAATAAAAATTGTAGAAGTGTGTGTCGATGATCAATGGGCGCCATGCATGCTACTGCAAACTGTTTCTCTGTTTGCGAGTTGAACTTGCGGCAAACACGACGACAAAGGCAACCGTGACCGAAGATTGATCGAATGCGCTTTACGCGGTGTGCATCGTTCGCGGTGCGGCAAAGTTCGCCGGTGTGACGGCCTCCGTGCGATGCGGAAAATCTGAGATTCGAAACGACGTGCGACGGCGATCGGCGGAATCGATTTCGGCGTTGCGGAGAATCGCGCGGCATCTTCAACACAATGATTATGAGCTACAACGTAATGCCGTTCAAAAAGTACGCGGAAATCAGTTACCGCGTGAAATGCGTCGCGGTGGAGAACGAGCGGGTGTTCGGCGACGTGTACGTCACTCAACAGACACAGGATATCGCACGTCGTCCGAACGAGGATCCTTTTCCGACGGTGTACAAAAGACGGAGGCGCAATCTGATACATCAGACTCTCAAGGGACCGGATTTCATGGAACTGAACAGCAAACGACCGACCGGAAGCGTCGGCGTCGCGAGCTCGCGCTGGCAAAAGCGCTCAAAATCAACGGGGGACGAGTCAATCGCGTTTAATTACGGGAATGCCGGCAATCATGACGCGGCTATCAAGAGGCCCAAGGTAAACGCTCCTACAATGCGCTGCAACTCGAGATTAATCGATACTCCGGGAGTTTGAGTTCTCGAGATGGCAACACGAAGAAGAACTTTAGTTTGAACGGAGTTTCTACTTGCTCTGGAGATCGTTGCGACATCACCATGTAAAAGTCGTAGAAGTTGAACCATGTAGTTATTCAAAGTTGATCATAAAGTCGCTCTAACTTCCTCGAGAAATTTCCCAATCTTATATGACGATAAAATTCGAGATTACGTAGCGCACACATCAGCTAATTGCATATTAGAATATTTAAATTATTTTATAAAAATTTCAGTCAGTTCTTGCCAAACGAGAGAGACCTGACTGAATTTTCTTTTTTCTATTTTCTGGTATACAAGCCCCAGTAAGTGAGGCAAAATATGCTATAGATGAATAGACACTAGATTTAAAGCGTAACACACATACACGTGAAAACTCATGAAACTCACGTAACAAAGCCGGCACCAGGAAGCGAATAGTAGAAGCAGTTATTGTCGAGATAACGGTAGAATGAACGAGTTAATAACTTTTCTTTTCTCTTCGTAAATTCGCACAGTTTGATGTGTCGGCGGTATTCTTTCGTACCCACACCGATCGTTCTCTCTTCCTGGAAGAAACAGTCGTTTAATGATTTTAGACATATCCACCACCTATGCGCTATTCATCGCCGAAGAAAGAAGCCGTGATTACCTCGCTGGTGGATCAACTATTGCTGGACATTTATGGCATTCCGATGGCCGACAAGGGACGTTCAGAAAGCGATTCAACAGCATCGTCATTGAAACCACGCCCACAGCATCAATATCAGCAGAAAGCTCGCCTGCTATTGAAAAGTAAGACAATTCAATACGAGCTGGCGATAAACAGGCGCGTTGCGGAAAAATAGGCGCGCGCATGAAAGCTCACATCCATCTTTAACGATTGAAAGTTCAGTTAATAAGCAATCTATGTTGTGACGATCCATTTAACTTTAATGACAACGCGTGATTTTTTTTCTCCTCGTGACAAGTCTTCAGATTACTTTAAAAAGAATTTATCTCTTGATAAGAAATTATAAAAATTCTTTAATTTTATATTAACAATCTAAGTACACACATTCAAATTGTTATGTAAACGTTTGTTATAAATTTATTATAATTTTCGCTTCTCTCTATAATTAAACGCCATTATGTTTCCCGGGTCATTTATCGGTTTTGCAGATTTTTTGATATTAAGCGCAAATTTTTGTTTGACTCTATAAATAATGCAACAACTTGCAACCGGTTTTCACGATATAACGTGATTGTTTAATATCGCGATATACAGGCTTTTGTGCTTTTTCGCGCTTTTCGGGATTTACCGTATTTCAAAACTAACGAGACCGCACACTGACAACAAAAAAGCTTATGCATACACACATATTTACGTGTTAAACAGAACCAACACAGCACACACACACACGCACAAAACCGTTGTTGAATTCTTTATTATTTTGGTCACTGTTTTATTCTCAATTGTTACCGCTTGTTTATCAATATTAAACTTTATTAATTGAAAAACACAATATTTTAAACAATTGAATATTTTAATACAGGGAAAGATGAACTGCAAATTCTGCTCTCGACTCTTCACGACCACATTATTCATACAGGCGGTCTGCTTATTCGCCAGCTGCGACGAAAGGATTATCTCACTGCCAAACGTGATAAACAGTGCGATATCATCACGGCCTATCTACAAGCACACAGCGCGAAACGTTGTGAGTACACGCACTACTTTCAAACATTTTCGCGTTAATGTTTCGAACTGTTTGAAATATTTGACGTTAATCGCTTTATTATATCGCGAGTACTAAAATTTTCCACTGTTCCATATTTCATCATCACGTTCTCATGGCTCATAAATAATTCACACAAATAATTTATTAGGTCTTTGAATTAATTCTCGCTGTTGATTAATAGAGGTCAATAGTTGTGCTATTTCAACATGGCCGAAGGTGACTGTTGATGTATATGAAAGTACTTTCACTTTAGGCTTTAAGAATCAGCGTATGACATTTGAGCGAAGTGCGCAGAACACAATTTTTTATCGCATCAAAGATATCAGATTTCGTACCAACAAAAGAGCATATGCGGGAAACATTACTTTTTTGCTTTCATTTCAATAAATCTGTTGTTAAAAGTCATAGTTTGCTAGTGAAGGCTTATGGAAAGCATGCTCCATCGCAATCAACTTGCAGAAATTGACTTAAATCGATTAAAAATCGGTCCGAAAACAACGATTTTGACGTGATCGACAAAAAACGCTCTGAGCAGCCAAAAAAGTTTAAGGAATTGGAGGCATTACTTAAAGAAGATTCATGTCAAACGCTCAAAGAGTCGGAAACATTAAATGTCGATGAGTCAACCGTTAATAACCGTTTAAAAGATATGAGAATAATCCAGAAGGAAGGACACTCACATGAATTGAAAGAAAGAGACATTGCAAAACGTTTAATTATTTGTGAAATACTGTTGCAAAGACATAAACGGAAGTCGTTTTTGCATCGAATTGTAACCGGCGATGAAAAAAAAATGGATTTATTACGACAATCCGCACAAATTATTGGTGCGTCCCGACGAACCATCAACATCGACGCAACGACAGGATATTCAAAGAAAGAAGGTTATGCTGTGTATTTGGTGGGATCAATTCGGTGTAGTGTATTATGAGCTGCTGCAACCGTATCAAATCAATAATAAACTCTACCGACGACAATTACTCAATTTGAATTTCGAGCACTCAAAGAAAAACGCGCGCAATATGCCAAAAGACAGGACAAAATTATTTTTCTCTAGGATAACGCTGAACTACATGAAAAACAAGTAAAAGACATTTTGGAGGCACTTGGATGGGACGTTTTACCCCACCCGCCTTATTCACCAGACATTGCTCCTTCAAATTATCATTTGCTTTCGGTCGATGCAGGGTGATCTTTCTGAGCAGCGCTTCTTTCAAAGATATCAAAAATTCGATAAGTAGATCGCCTCGAAGGAATCTGAATCTTTTGGAAAATTCGGAATCCATTCGTTACCCGAAAGATGGAAAAAGGTTATAGCTTCCGAAGAACATTATTTTGTATAAACCATGATGTGCTATTCTTTTGAAATAATATGAATTTTTATAGCAAAAAACAGCGAGAATTAATTCAAGCATCTATTATCAAAAATATTAATTAATAACTTGTTTATGTCGTTATGATTGTTTGTTCACGAACACACTCGTGCAAGATGAATTGACGTACATTTTTAAAAATAAACGATATTTGATTTGAAACGAGATTTTAAATGTGTGTTTTTTTTGCGTTTGTTTCTATTTTTATGCAAAAACAGTTTAACGTTGTTGAAAAGAAAATGTGCTAGTATCAAATGTTTTTCTTAAGCGATTTTCTTGGAAAAACCTAGCAGTTTTTGGGTATTAAAGAGCCACTTGATGGCTTTCGAAAATACTGCGCGCAATAAAAATTTATAGCACACAGCGCACTAATGGCAGTTCTGGGAAAAAGAGCTTACCGTTCGTGCGGAAAGTTTTATGAAAATTGTGAAACGATGCATTGCTAAGACGTTCTGTATATTTATTATATAAAGGTGCGGTTATAAAAACCTGTAGGTTTTACGATTTACGCCGGAAATGCGCGCCGAAAGAAAGATATCGTATATGTAAATATTTAACAGGATAAGATACAAATGTTACAACGATACAGCGTTGATAAAGTTAGAAATGTTAGTCTCGTTCGCGGTTGTAGCGATTCGTTGCTCACTTGAATGCAAATAATTGCACACACGTTACAATAATAAATAAATTTTAATGTAATAAGCGCGAGACAAAAAAAATTACTTCTACGTGAATTTTATCAATCAGACGTAAGTTTTCAAATCTCTAGAAATTAAAGCGATTCAGGAGTCATCTGCTTATATTAGTTTGTGTCTCGAAACAATCACACGGTGATAAATGATCCAAATAACTTTTAATTCAGAGCGTTTGATTCAGACCTGAGATTAATTAAGACGTATTAAACGCATCACTTTCAGTTCCAAAGCTTTCGACATTTTACAACACGAATACATATTTTCCACCTGCATTTCTCTTTATTGTATTTTCATCTCTCTCGTATTATTGTCGTTTATATTATTGCAAACGACAAATTTAGAATTTCTACAAAAGTAGAAATTCGCCTAATATACAGACAGGGAGACCTAAGCGTTTTTACACATAAAGATGCGTCAACAATGTCGCAATGATAACAATTTAGGTTAATTGTCGCTTTATTAAACTTTTGAGACGATCTTCTTCAAGATCGTCTGGAACATCGTCGAAGAAGTTGCGACATGTCGTGTTCCGCGGCCGCGAACAAACGAGCTTTCATACGCGACGATGCGGTGATCAATAATTAGACTTTGCCGCGTCCGGCGCGGCGGCGCGAGACACGCATGCTCCGCATACGAGCGGCGCGAGCGAAGTTCCGACGTGGCATCATTGATAAAGTTTTCGATGCTGTTGCGCCCGCGGGCGCCGGGTATACGCGCAACTTTTCTCATCGTTCTTTGCGCGAGTTAGCACCGTTTAACCGGCGCGATGAACTCAGGGGATGAACTCTACGACGAGCGCACGTGACGGCAGACGGTGCACTTGGACCGCAAAGAAGCAGTTTTATCGTAGGCGGCCGTCTTTCACTTTGGAAAACTTTGCGTCGCCATCGTTCGTTTCTTCACACAAACGCGTACTATAGTTGACGCGTATCCAGAAATACGCGTTAGCGCCAAGTATGAATTACTTAACGATCATCAGGAGAAACTTTTACGCAAATATATTAAATATGTAAAATTTTATTATATCACAATCACGTAATAAAATTTCATCTGAATTTATTTGACAAAATTTCATTACGCAATTGTGATATAAGTGTGCAAATTTATTGCGATATAAAATACTAACGTCATATTACGACGGATATTTGATAAGTTAAAAAATTATTGTATCTTACATCGCGAGCACACGATTGTGCGTTTTTTTTTTTTTTTTTAAATTGAAATGATTATTTTCATGATATAGGATTTTATTATTAATCTTGTTGAATAACGGGACAACGAAGATGTGATATAAACTGTGTCAATTAACGAACCCACATGTATTCTTGACGTGTGTTAGTTTTAACGATTGATATCTTCGCTGCAAATTCTCTCGTTCTGCTACTATATATACTGTCTCTGATTTATTGATCTCACATATTTTTGAACACCCCACTTCTCTTTACACCGGATAAGATAGATTCGATATCCCGAATCCACCGCGCGAATATTACCACGGTGAACTTTCCGTGTCATTAACCCAGCAAAGCCAAAAACCCACCAGCGAACGTCCTCGCACAGAATGATTGTGTAATAAGTTACGCGATGCGGAAACTCACTGATGATCGAAACGATTATTACAAATTGCCTGAATCGCGTTTCCATAATGCAACACTTATAACGGTACATTGCCCGCGATCGTGCGCAGTTTGTCACGCAGATTTGTTAACATAAGGAATTTAAATTGTTACGTGGCATCATTTGCTTTATTGTTTATTCTCTCAAATGTGCAAACATTTTGTTCACTATGTGTAGAGCGCGCGCACGATATTGATATTTGCAAAAATATATCCTTGCCAAAATGATCTTGAACTACAATTCACAGTTCTAACATGTTTCTTTGACCTTCAATTATCTACGTATAGACGAAGAGGTGAAATTTTTACGGATGATTAAGCGAAAAAGCTACGCGATATAACAGATGTCGGATCTTTAATTTCTTATAAACGGTGCTGACTATTTCGAGTGACCCACAAACCGACGAAATCAATGAGAAATGTCAATCCCGCATCCCGCGAATAGTCTCATCAATAAAAATATTATCTCAACAATAAATTATTTTTTCAGATTTTTCAAAAAGCTACTAGTTAATATAATTTATACATTTTAAATAAAAACTTTGTGTGTGTGTGTGTGTGCTTGCGCACATACATAAATAACATTTCCAATTAACCGTATATCTGATTGTTTCATCTTAAATGTATGTATGTACATTTTCAAATATTATATTTATTCAGTAATTTCAAAAATCTGACGAGAATAATTTGTCATTTTTTGAGAGATGCGTGATTTTGCATACGCGGACGAGAGAACGATATAACGAAAAGTTCTTATAATAACACGGAACCTTGAAGATTTAATTCCTCACGTTCACTTGATCTAATAATCTCTCCATCACGTACGTTATACATTAAGATAAACTCGCGTTCATCGTGCTCCACTTAATCGAGGCCTGTAATCATTAATTTGTTTTTACGGATGAACTATTCATAGTAATATAAAACTGTGCAAATGCTCGATATTCCATCGTACCATATGTTGGTACTTATTATGCAGTTGTTTGAAAATGTGAAAAAAAAATTGGAACACGTACGACATCGAATCCGACTAATCTGTTTCACTGTCAATTAGATGACAATGCGGTGAGTTCAGAAAAAAATCAAGTGCGAAATCGTAAATTGATCAATTTGATCAATTATCGGTTATCGATAACGTCAAGATATCGGAATATAAAATTTGTAACAAATTGTCACATCATTTTTCAAGATATCACCACTTTTACAGATATCGAGATATAAAACATGATATTACACAAGACATCGCAAACGCGTGTATTTGTAATACGCTCGTGTAACTGTAACGTATGCTGTAAATTTCCACTTTTGTGCAATCGGATTTAACATTTTAACATTTAACATCTCACGCGTTAATCCGAAAATGCGCTTAGTTATTTTGCACGTACGCGCGACGCAAGACAGATTTGTTATTTGACACAATGTCAAATAAAAAAAAATTCAATTATTAAAATTATTAAAAAACATTTGACGCGATACCGCGTTTGTGTTTAAAATACCAACCAAGCCGGGATTCAAGCTTTCTTCTTCTGCAAAGTTTTCGATAAATATTCGCTCTCATCGTTCGTAGGTGAACAAATTTCAAACTTCTCACGTATTTCTCTCGGAATGATAAGATGCGCGGGGGTAAAATTATGCACACAGTGGGGAGAAGTTGGTGGAAAAACGGAGTAGCGCATGCGTTGTAACGGGAGTGGCACCACGTAGAGTCGCTACGGACACTACGGGGATGGAATAGCGATTCGTGGAACAACGAAGGCAGTAGTGCCTACTGCAGGGTTCCACGAGGAGGCAAGCCACCCCTCGTGGCAACCCTCTCACGTCGCGGGAGCTTGTGCGCGCGCGCACGTCACTTCATCCGTTATCGTTTCAGCTGACTCGACGCACTCGTCGCACGAAGACGCTCCTCCGGGTGTCTCGGAGCACACAGCTGTCCCCGAGCTACTCTGTCGCGACGCCGACATTGCGATATTTTTGCGATACTCGCGGGTCAAGAGCGTTGAAAATCTCTTCTATCTGAGAATAGCTTGAGTCCGCATTTTTCCGACGGAAAACTGTGCCGCTGGATACAGCGTGCACAGTTCGGGGTCGTTTGCTCGTGCTGCATACGTGCTTCAATAGTACGCGCACCAATGTGCATCGAGGTGGTGTTGTGCTGCATGATCGACGACGAAGACGACTGCCCGATAGCACGTTGTCAATTCTCGTGGTAAAGATGGTACGATCCGATTAACATGCCAAGTCTGTTCTGTCCGAGTGTCAAAATACTGCGTTTGTTTAATGTCCCTTCTCGCGAGCAAGTAAGTACGCGATAGATCAAGCCGCGGTTGGTGCATCGTGAACAACGCTGGAATGCACATTTAAATCACGGTCGCGCGTCACGAGAGAGAAATGCGTGCGTGTGTGTGTGTGTGTGTGTGTGTGTGTTCGCGCATATTTATGTACACCTCTTAAATGAAAAATCTCTCGCAAAAAATTAATCAGTCAATTTGCGAAAATTAATTTGCTTTTGGAAGCAACGAGTTAATTTTGTTTTTATGTCTGCAGCAACGAGTTTTCACAAATTAGAAAACACCAAAACCAAAATGAATGATTAAAAAGAGAGCGGAGGAAAAGTAGGTAAAATTGTTTCGCGTGACGCATTTAAAGTTCAAACCACGCACTTAGCGAGAAAAAACATTTACCTGCAAGTTTTATGCTAAACAATACATATAAAACACAAAATAAATACGTAAAATACAATAAATAAATATAAAGATAGATTTTTCTTTCTGTCGAGTGTGTTGTTAAAAGTAGCACATAAATTGTTGGTTTTTCTACACGTGTATCGATTCTCGTTTTTGGCTTTTAAACTTGTTCCATCTATTTTTTTTTTTTTTTTTTTTTTTTTAACGTTTTATGATTTATCGATGTTAGACGTTTATACGATGTGAATTGATCGGTACAACTTTCCGACACTTCGTCGAGAAAACACGGGAAGCCGAACTTGTCGAAAGTCGCGATCAATCAATGTGCGCCTCTTCGGATTTCCGAAGGGACATTAAACAGACCGAATTGGGAATTCCTCAAAGTTCGTTTCTTCGTATCGTCTCGAGCTAATAAGAAATTTGACGCAGCTACAACGTTAATAAGTAATCACTCACATATCTCGATAAAATTTGACAACTGATACACTTACGTTCACCTTTTGCGAATCGAAAAAATTTTACCTTCAAGAGAGAAAGACACTAACTGACGCTTATAAATTGTTTTACTACTCACGTTCAAGTACGTCACAAAAACAGATATATCACGTAAACGACAAACGCTCGGACATAAATTTAAATCGTAAAGTGATAAACTAAGTGATGCAATGCATCTTCTTAATTGCATTGTAATCGACTAGTCGCGATCGGATTACTGCCCCAGCATTTTATCGGTTTCATCAACCACTGGCGAGCTAAAAAAATCGATTCTGTTATCAGCTTTGGCCACTTTTATCGGCGTTATCTGCATTTTACCGCGGACAAAAACTGACGGAGTTTAACATGAGCCAGTGTAACGTGTACATGACGTGGTTTGCACATTGATGCAATGTAATTAACAAATCACGCATTTGATGTTCCAAATAACGAGAGACTATATGGAGCAACTATCGGCGATCTATAAAGAGCGGAAGCGAGAGAAAGAGAGAGAGAGAGAGAGAGGGAGAGAGAAAGAGAGAGAGAGAGAGAGAGAGAGAGAGANAGAGAGAGGGAGAGAGAAAGAGAGAGAGAGAGAGAGAGAGAGAGAGAAAGAGAGAGAGAGAGAGAGAGAGAGAGAGACGGTCATGTTATACGCGTAAATACAGTGCGTTGATATCTACATTGTGTTACTTGTAACAGGTGGTACAGCTGTATATATACATATGGCGTAGAAAGAACAGCGAGGAATGTTCTCGTATACTGAATTTTCACCAAAATGCACATTTCATTTGACGCATAGTTAGGAAAAAAAAAAGCGTATTTAAATAGTACAATAATTTTTAGGTTGTTTTAGCGTTTTATATTATCATTTAATTACACATTCACACCAAAATAGCAAAATGCTGCATAATTAATTAGTGCAAACTAATAAATTACACGACTGTTTGTTTTTCGATTTTCTCATGTGAGCCTTCGGAGCCTTAAAAAATTTTTTAATTGTTTTCTCATGTGAATTTAACGTCAAGTGAAAATTTCTTTTCGCCAAATACAGTTTCGCGATTAAGCCCATCGTTCGACCGGTTTTTCAGAGTCATAATAAAAATAAGGTTCATTCGAAGAGAACGTCGCAATCCGTTGCGTGTAAAGAGAATATTGCGGGAATAAACCGAGGGACGGCCGATCATGAATCACGAGAACGGTTGAGAGCAGCGTGTGCGCGATATAACGAAAGGCAGAAGAGATGAAAGTGAAACGATGAAGAAGAGAGAGTGGCGCTTCTAATTGGAGAATGAACGGATTTTTCAACTCCCTCAAAAATTTCGCGTCCGGTGCTACCGGCTCTACTTCGAGATACGAAGAGCTGGAAGGTGAAGCGACAAATTTCTGTAAATCCATCTCGCATGCTGTACTATCCGCTTGTGTGTGTGTGTGTTGCATGTGTACAACTTAAAGTTCTAAGTAAACCACTTATATGTACGTACCTATAAGCTACTCGAGAGCTAACTACATTTGCAAATTACATTTTGTCAAATGCTTCTGCAAAACATACATATATATATATATATATATATATATATATATATATATATATATTCTATATATCTATAGAATAATATTAATCTCTTATACACCTCCATCTGGTATATACTGCCTGTATCGGCCTTATTTAATTTCTTTGAATATTAATCTGATGTGCGTTGAGTGCACCGCGAGTTTAAAGTATTTTGTATTTTTTTTTTTTTTTGGTCACACAAAGATGTTTTTAAGTAGAGAATAAAATATAGAAGAGAGAGAGAGTAGCTAAAAGAAAGAAGAAGAGAAGCTTACTTTTTTTTAGTTGCCGTTGCACGTAATTTTCCTTTGTGAGCGAAAGGATAATTTCATGTAAAAAAATTCAAAAACAAAATATGAGAAGATGGCAATATTTTGTATCACCTAATGAGAGAGAATTTAATTTAATGTAGTTGAAACTTTCAAAATACAAGTTGAATATTTTAATATATTATTATCCCTTACTTTATTATTTTATTACTTTAATTAGAACTTTATAAATTCATGTTGTAGATCAATTGAAGAATTGGAAAACATTAAATTACTTATTTAAGTCTGTCACAAAATCTAAAAATTTACGCACAAGTGTGCGCAAAAATAACAGCAAATTCTAGTTTTAAATCTCTATTCATGTGCAAACTATTGAATTAAGTTACGCGAACCCGCAGCATTCGCCGTTAAAATTTTCATGATGCATCCAACTCGTATTAAATATTAACTCGATTAAAATTTAAACGTTCTGTGTTGTTTGTCAACGTTGAAGCACGTATAAAATTTAGCGGCATGGCACGTTTAATCTGTTTGCATTACAACAGACAGCATTGCATCTCTATGCCGTTCTATCATAGCAATAAAATTTACGACGATGTAACTATGTTCTTATGTGTCATTTGTAAGACACTCGGAGTTGAGTTAGCATGAATTGTAACGAGCGTACATTCGAATCAATTTCAGTAGAGAATATCTGTCCGGGGAAATTGTTGTACAATGTAGAAGAGCTTTCTGTTTATTTTCTCTGGCAGCAAATATTTTGTTTTGTTACTTTGCGCAATTTTCCAATATGGCAAATAAAAACAAAACAAAAAAAACCATAACGCGCGCGCGCGCGTTACGCACACGTGGCAATTTAAACCTCTTAGCAAAATATTCGATAGACAAATATACAAAATTTGTTATGAGAGAAGTGGAAATTATATCAAATTTGCGCGCCGATGCGCAAGCATATATAGCAAATATATAGCTGGCCGGTGGTTTGTTCAGTCATTAATAGAATTCCATCGCGATCTCTTGTTGCATTGATTCGTTCGTGTAATATTGGATATCGTCAATACACGTCTCACAGAGCACGTGTCACTTTTGCTTATGTGACCGCGGTATGGTAAAACTGATTACTCCGAGAATATATTTACCTCCGAGCGATTATTTCTACTCAATTATCCTGGCAATTCCTTTGCAAGGGTTGTCATGGAAACGATCATGCAACGACCCTTCTACTAAATGGCAAGCGCGATCAAGCTTTGCAATCGCGTCAGTCGTTCGTATACGACCGAAGAAGAATGACTTTAATGTTTTTTAACTATGACAAAAAATAAATAGATAAATAAAAAATCGTTCTCAAATTATTGATTCAAGTCGAACATTAGTGCACGTGTGTGTCGAGTTTGTTTGAGCCAAATACTAAGTGTTTTTTAAGTACTTATTTGAGTTAAATACATATGCAAGTGTTTTCGCTTTGTGTGTGCGACAACGTAAAGCATTTACTGTGCAAATTATATCGGTAACGTGTAAAAGGGATCAGTAACGAAGACGTTATGTGTCATTGTAAATACATGCAGTAAAACTATTCTAATAGAGATGAGATAGAGATATTTCATAAACTTTTTTTTAAATTTCAGTCGAAGATACAAAAATGAGGTTTAGTTTGACTCCGCAACCGGGTGAAAGTGGTTTTATACAATGGTTAGACGCAATGAAAATGGTTGCGAGACTACAAGGAGGGATACCACCAGAGTTTCGGAAAAGGGTGAGTGTTTCGAGTAGATCTAGGAGAGAGCAGAGTAAATAATTATAACTATCAATCTATCTCTCTCCCTCGTTCTCAAAACTTCAACAAATTTGTCATTAAAATAAACGTAAACCAACAATTGATGTTTTCCTACAGTTATGGTTGACGTTAGCGGAACGTCATCTGGAACAACGCGGCGTAGATTGGAAGCAGGCTGAGAAGGTCTGTTTTAACGAATGGAGTAATCCTGATGATGAAGAACTTGGCATACAAATCGTGAAAGTAGGTGCCTACGGTAGTGTCTAGATACGTACAGTCAGACAGTTTGCTTTAGCTTCAAAACTTTGCAAATAATTACATCTGTTGGGGTGCATGAAAGTTCTCTCCTACGCAATGTTTTAACAGATGTCATCGTCAAGCTCTGCATTTTTTTTTTTTTTTTTTTTTGACAGCGCTTTTATTATCTTTTCTTGTTTTTCTTTCATTTTTCCACATAACTTCGATTGTTCGGAGAAATTTAACAAAAATCTACGTCGGTCTTTTTCTTTGATATTATTTTCAACAATACGCACTCGTTCGTTACGCTATCTGCAAAGTGAAAGGCGACCTGTTTAATTTCAAGAGACATCTCTAAACATGCAACGCCAAGAAGCGTATTTGCCGAGACAGCGGCGCATTTATTTCGAAGCGCTCTTTGCTATTCTTAACACGAAAACGTCGAGTTGACAAACATAACTCCGTACTGCATAATAATAAATGACTTAATTAAACGGAATAAAGTAAAGGAAGCGAAAAATTAGTTGCTGCGTTTAATCTAGATCAATGCAAATATCGTGCGCAATTAAAACGAGTTGTCTTTCTGGAAATAGCAATCTGACACTTATTTTAAAATACTTATTTTATAAGATACGATTTTATCAGCTTCGTACGTATTTAAAAATAGTAACATTAATTATTATTAATGTTCAATTAAGCCCCCGGATCGTTCGTCATTGTAATGACGAGTAATCATCCTTATCGGTTGCTCCCGCAATTTAAACCCACCTACATAGATTGCATTATAACGGGGAATTTTCCCGAAGAGTGACATTCACAGTTTCTCGTTCCTCTTTCGTCGGTTTATTTTTAGCACTTTAATGACATATGTAATAGTAGATTGTTCTCTTATTTATTCGCGCGATTCCATTTAGAAAAGAAACTTGAGATATGTACACACATATATAAAAATGGAAAATATGGCGAGAAAATGAATTTTATGTAAAAAAAAAAAAAAAAAAACAATTGCGTTAATTTTTCCGGTTAACGCCAATAAAACTCGTTCGTTCGATAAGACTCGAAATGTCAATTTCGGTTTGTTCGTTGATGTAAAGAAAATATTATTATACGATTTGCAGGACTTGCACAGAACTGGCTGCAGCCTGTTCTGCGGTGCTGCTGGCCGGGACAATCAAGCGGTGCTACGTCGTGTCCTGCTCGGTTTCGCTCGTTGGAACAAATCCGTGGGTTATTGCCAGGGCTTAAACGTTCTGGCTGCTCTCGTTCTGCAAGTGATGGATCGCGCGGAGTCCTCGGCTGTGAAAGTGATGATATATCTAATAGAAGGTGTTTTACCAGAAGGCTATTTTGCTGATAATCTGCGAGGTCTCTCCGTGGATATGGCGGTGTTTCGGGATCTTCTACGCTCGAGGCTGCCAAAGTTGTCCAAGCATCTCGAGGCGCTTCAGAGTGACGCAAAGGATAAAGCGACGGGTGAGTTGAATTGCCAAAACAAAAACGAGAGATGAGAGGCGCTAGAAATACAGGAGTCGCGCGACAACAAGAAGATTGTGTGTGTTATTTTCGAAAATTAAAGTGCGCGTAAGTGTGAACAAATGTCCACTAAGTTTGAGATGTAAAAACACTTTATTCTTCTTTTCAAAAAATTATAATGGAACACTTTTGTTTTCAAATAAAAAAATATTTAATTTTTCCTCACATAAATATTTTAGAACTGGAATTTTTTGAAAAATGTGTGGAGCAGCTCAGATTGGAGCTCTTGATTCCGTTTATAGAAACGTCGCATCTAATTAAAACTCGTTAAAGCACGAAGAGCTAATTTACTGCAAAATACCGATAATCTCTTCGACTATAATTTAATTAAATTTGATCTCATTGTTCCTCATCTCATTTATTCCGATTATTACGGCAGATGATATTTGCCTCGCTCTTTCAGGAAGCAGTTACGAACCCCCGCTCACGAATGTGTTCACTATGCAATGGTTCCTCACGCTTTTCTGTCACTGCTTGCCGCAGGAAGCGGTTCTTCGTGTTTGGGATCTGATATTTCTCGAAGGTGACGAAGTGCTCCTTAGAACGGCACTTGCCATCTGGGAAGGTCTCTCGGAGTGAGTGTGAAACAAAAAATTTCAATTAAGTTTATTTATCGTAATTACGCGTAACTGGAGAGAAACTCAACGAGAGACTGTGTGTTTTTCTTCAATTTATTTTATATGCCACGAGTAACTGGAATAATTAATTGTGTTTCCAGTCGCATAATGACCGTAACGTCGGCGGACGAGTTTTACAGCATAATGGGAGTGCTTACGCGAGAGATGCTAGAATTCACCGACACAAACAATCTCATAAAGGTTGAGTGCTATAATTCATATTTGGGTTTGATAACGCAATCCAACAGGATAATTGCGATAATTAGAGACATGTCTTGTCTTTGTACAAGTTACATTACTCCCATTAACGTATTAGCTATTATTTTCTGTTATATTATTCACGTTGATACATAATTCATTTATCAATTATTCCGACAGAACATTGTAAGCATGGGACCGTTACACGGTGTGACGAGTTTGAGAGAAAAACATCGATATAATATCACCCCATGGGCGCGAAAACTGAGCGACGACGACGACAGCGAAACGGAGGAGGATGAGAGATTAGCGGTGGCGGCTGCTATGTTCAACATGGCTCAACGTATAAAGAAAGGTGATTGTTGTTTGCGTTTGATGAGAAAAATAATTCCGTGAGTGATTACTTGATATATTGCAAAAGACAGTGATAAAACGCGAAAACGAAAAAAGGTTTTTAATATCTGGTTAGAGAGTTATCCAGCGGGATAAATCAAGATGATTAATTATTTACAATTGACGCGCGCGGGAAAAATAAGAAAGAGATTACCTATAGGTACTGTACTGGTATTAAGACATCGAGCGCGTATTGACGCTTGTTGAAAGAAATGATGAATTTTCAGATCGCATACCATCAACAATAGGAGCGTTACAAGCAATGGCACCTAGCAGCGATCGGGAACGCCTTGCTCTGGATATTACCACGCTGAAACAGCAATATGCAAAACTACGAGAACGACAGCGGCAAGCACACATAATACTCTCCGGTAATGGCAAATGAGTAGGAAGAAAAGCGGTTTTTGCATAATTTTGCATAATAGAGTAGTGTAAATATTGAATAAGAAAGATATCTCTTTCGAAATACGAAGAAAGTGAAATTTTTTTTTGTTTTTAAGTAAGCAAATTTGAAGTGTGTACGTTGTTTGTTATGTTCTTCTTTTTTTTGTTATATTTTTTTCAGAGAAATTAAATAAACAATTTACTTTTCAAAATTACAAAAAATCACACGCGTTCGGACATTTATATGTTTTAATATGTAATACACGTTTAATTATGCATTGCGTTTGTGCATAATTTGTGAGTGAACGTAGAAGGAATAAATTGCCATGAAATTTATACATCACTCGATCTGGAACGCACATATTATAAATGCAATATGCATATTATGTTACAACAATGATCTTACGCCAATCCTTCTAGCCTCAATATTATTCTAAATTAATGAAAAGCGACTGTGTAACGTCATATGGAAAATCGAACGTTGCTCATCTTTAAAATCAAACCTCGGCACGTGCGTAGGGATTTGACAATATTACCGAGCACATTGCAACACTTTGCCGTTCTGCTCGCCGCTATATAATCTAGTCCATATATTCATGAATGAACCGCGTCGAACTTATGTCCACACTTACGACTTTAGATGCTATCGTCACGTATTTCGTTCCGAGCGGAAGTGCACGATAACAACGTGACCTTTCGAGATCTTGTGACCTATCACGTAAAAACGCGGTTTCCAACCATACGTGATTCGCCTCGGTTCGAAGTAGCCGCTTCGAACTGTTTTCTGATAAACCAATAAAACTTATATGGCCATATTTTGATTGACGTACGTCAATAAAAAACTGTGAAACGGGAATAAAGTTTTTAAGTATAAAAGTATAAAACAAGAATGTTTTTTTGTATAAAACACGAATGTTTTTTCGAAATCTTTTTTATTTTTTAACCGACTTCTTATATTCTGATGCAGCCGCGTGCGCGAGACAGACCATGGTACCTCCACCCACTTCCACAGCTATGAATCATCTGTTAGTGGGCAAAAATGCCCTTGTAAGTGGAAAAAATCGACCACTGAGTTTGCCGTCTGTCACTGTCACATCAAAATTACGGCCAGCAACTCTACACAGCCCAAGAGGTCAAAATCGCAGGGAAAGGCAAGGTGTTACGCTTCACTGGAAAGACGCAAAAAGGCCGAAGCAAAGAGCTGGCGACGCTGGTGGTAAGTGCAATTCATGCTTCAGAATTCTTTATTAAAATAGAAATTTTTCAATATTTGCAAATTATCTCTCTGTGTTTCTCTTTTGTAAACTCAAAAACTTGTGCACAACGAAAAGAAAAGTGCAATCTATTTTGAATACAAATAAAATGCTCGATAAATATAACTAATGTAAAGTATCTCGATGATAAAATACGCGTTTTTAATGATTAAATAGTTTATTATTTTTATTTTTCTCTATTTTTAGTTTTTTATTTTTTATGTAAATAGTTTTTACCAAAATTTACAAATATAAAAATATCACAACATGCGACGAGAGATTCACTTAAAAATAGTTGTTTATACATGTAAATGATTAAAAAAACAGAATAAAATTATTAAATTTGTGATATACACTGAATAATCTACATACGGCAACTGGCAAGCGTACCAGCAGAGAGTAAGGTATCTTCTATCTACCGACGGTAACTTTCAGTGTGGCAACACTGTTTATCAGTAGTCAATATATCTACAATCTCCCATGATAAAAGTACATCAACCACCTGTTTCACGTTTGATACCAACAAGTATGACTATTGACGCAGGTGTGGCAAATAGAGTCAACATCCAGTTCCGAATCTTTTCTCTTGACAAGTCGTTTCCTCTGCCGCGAATTAAAACTTCAATACATATAATTTCGTACAGATATAAGTTTACAAGTTATCGCTTTTTCTATTTGTTAATTAATTTTTTCACCAGTAGTGATACTAAATTGACACATCTCCGATCACTAATTTAATTGTGTTATTCATTTCTTTCTTTCGGAATTTGTTGTTGAATAATTTGTTTTATACAGAGTGATCTTTTATTTTATATTGCAGACGCTGATGCCTTTGGTTCAGCATTTTTGCAATCGCCTTCGGAGGCAACATCTGTGACGTCGCCTAACCGAGTTGACAGCGACAGTGACAGCACGTCGACGGAGCTGTGCGACGAACCGGATCGTCTGAGCGACGTCGATAGCGAGGAACTTACGTCAGCGTCCGATTCTTACGTCATGGACGATGAAAAGCACGCTTACGCCGAGGGTTCGTCGACCTCGGCTAGCACACCTGCGCGCTCGTATAAAAGCGAGCCGACAACAACGATCAAGGAGCCGTCACAGACGAATTCGATTCTCGTAATCGAGCAAAGCGACAAGTCCTCATCCTTGACTGAGATCTCGATCGCCAACATCACCGATCAGATACGAAGACTGTCGGCGGAGGATGACAATAACACGACGATTTCTCAAACACCGAGCGCGCGCGACAACGACGAGCTGTCGGCAAGCGATTATTCGCTCGAGAGGTCACAGACGAAGGCGACGGAGTTAATGCCGCAAGATCCTGTCAATTATACGTCAAGCGAAGACGCGACGAGATTCTCGCCAAAAAATGTGAATAGCTACGACTATTTGAATCTCAAACCCGATCTTGTTGAGGAAAAAACAGATGATATTTTGCTGCACAAAACAGATCGACTGAAAAGCACGGAAGAAATAGAAGAAATCGTTCAGACTAACGGTAAAGACAGTACAGGCCTTAAGATTAATATAATGGAAAGCACTACGAGTATATCACGCGATAGTTCCACAGAACAGCCGAGCATCTCTTTAGATAGAAATTACGATAAATTCAGCACATCCTTAGATACAGATGATAAGCTTTTCGAATCTTCTTTAAGATTTACAAGCAAGCTCTACTTAGATTCGAAGAACGATAATTTAAGCGACGCCGATGTTACGAGTAACAGAACTGCGGATATCACAACCGAGTCGCGATCTTTCTATTCCAACAGATACGTTGTAGGCCATCTTCCAATTTCCTCGATAACAATGGATAACAAATTAGCAAAACTCTCGCACGAAATATATGCAAATCCGAAAGATTTGGCGACTTCTGAACCAAATTTAAAAACAGATGTTTTCAGCGACCAACAACCGACGATACAAACAAAATCGTGTTCCGATCTGAAAAAGAGTCCGAAATCTCCGGACAGCGCGAAGTCGTTCAGTTCTGGAGAAACGATGGGTCCCGACTCGAAACCTTCCAGTTTGACTGCGAGCCCGAGAACGCCAAATAAATCGGATTCTCGCGATTTCGCGATCGACAAATCGGCCAGCTCGTCCGTCAGCTCGGATTCCAAAACTCTCGTTCTCCATTCTGCAAGTTCGGATATCACCCACGATATTTCGAGACCGATCACAAAGAGAACATCAACGTATGAGAAATCAAGCCCGTCGACTCCGATCAGCACGGATTCGCTGAAAAACAAATCCGATACAAGTCCGAAGTTGGTGATCAGCAGTTCCAGCGACTCGTGCAGTCCGAGCAAAGTTAAGTCTTCCGAGAGGTCGTTCAGTTCCGATCTGCAGTCGCCAATAAGTGCCAACTCTATTAGGTATACTTCAAACTACGGGAAACGAGGTCAGGACAACGTGTCAGAATCGCCGATCGATCTGAGCTCCGCGACCTCGCCGTTTTATCCTATCACGAATCCCAATCAGAAGACGCCGTCGCCGTACAGCGTAAGCAAACGTAGAAGCAGCGAAAGCGCCGAAACGTCACCCGATCAGAAATCGATCAGCTTGAAGGATTCGGTAAAGTTCTCAGGTTATCAAGCGAATCTTGATCCCTCGCCAAAATCAATCGAGACTAAGGTCTCCGACCGAGTCGAGAGAAGCGATGTGTTTGCCAGACCACAATTCAAAGGGCTGAGTACGGAACTGAATGCGAGTTACACACCGAGGGAGAAGAACAAAGCTGATTTGAGTTCTTACGAATCGATCGGCGCCGAGTCATACTGTAACCGCGCCGATTTTCTCGATGACAATTCAGACGATCCGTTGTCGGAGAAAGACGTGGTGCCTCAATTGCCGCACGAGAAGCTCGACAAGCATTATCTGAATTACAATTACAGACGCAGAGATCGATCGAAATTGACTGAGAGAAGTTCGAGCAGCCTGGAGAGTAGATACACCGATTTGAAGTCCTCGGCATCGATCGATGAATTCAGCGCGACTATGGCGAAAAAGCGATCCAGCGATATTCTGGAAGATATGAAGCATCTGGAAGCAAAGGCGTTCAGTGACGGATCGCCCGACACTACCATGCTAACGAAGAAATCGAGCGACATTTGGGAAGATATGAAAAACTTGGAAGCGCGGCGACAGGATACCTTCAGCAATTCGGCGAGCAGTTTCTCAAAGCAACGTTTAGAAATCCCGAACATAAGCATAACGAACGAGAGTAGAAAATCCTACATAGTGCATCCGAAAATCAACATCGACGACAACAGCATACTGAAGACCATAACCTGCAACAAAAACGACAACGACACGGAAGACGACGGTAGAGAATCGAAGGTCGGTGTGTGGACCAAAGTAAAACCTCGAAAGAAGGGGGACAACGGACGCAGAAGTAGCGACAGAGCGTCGAAAATCATTCAAGAGAACTCGGCCATACTGCACAAGATCCTGGCTTGTCAGGCGAAGAAACGTTTGCCAGATTTGGAAGAGATATCCAAAGAGATCACTATCAGTCCGATAAACGAGGAAATCTCGAAGATATTCAGTCCGATTCTCGAGAAAATGGGACTGAACGAGCACGAAATAAATGAGGAACTCGCTCGGATAAATTTAAAAGATTTTGATAACATGACCGCTACCAGTGTGTCGGAGTTGGACGCGAAAATCAACGAAGAGCTGACGAAACTCTCTCTCATCGACGATACCGAACAAATCGATGAGCTGGACGTAGACGAGATCATATCGCCCGACTATCTGGACACTCGGGAGGCGTTAATAGATCATAAGATAAACGAGGAACTCTCTAAACTTTTGGCAAACTACGAGGAAGAATCGCCGCCGAACGTGATTAATCTGGAGAAAGGTTCGTCCAGTCAGAACATAAGCGAGACGGAGGGTTTAGATCTCACCAGTATTTCGACGAACGTATTTTCCTACAAATCGTCCAACGACTCGATCGAGACCAGGAGCGATTTGGATTCCACGCAAGAAGCTGCGATTCAGTCCGAAAAATTCCCATTCGCGACGCTGAAGTACGAGCAGAGCATGTCGCCCAGGAGCGATATAGATATTTACAGGGAGCTGGAGAAACTCGACAAGATCTCGTCCGCGCAAGTGCTGCCGGACGCGTCGATCGAAGTACCGCCGAAACGATTGTCCCCTATTTCGTACATTACCGACACTTCAGCTTATTCGGATGTGTCGTCCGCGGGAAGATACGCGCCGAAGACAAGCCCGTTCGACGTCGCGCCGTTGAAGAGCTCTTACGATCCTTACAAGAGCTTTGAGTTTCCGAGCAGATCACCGCGTGACAATCTTTACGCAGCGTACGATAAACCAAGCGATTCCACATTCGAGTACACGGATTCGAAGCCGAGACTGTCGCTTGATCCGTACGATCGGCATCTCAAGGGTTCGATATTGTCGAAGGAATCTCTCGAGTTTCGCGTGAGATACGACAACGATTCTCCGGGACCGATCAGCGGCGAATACGCGGCTGTTCAGGATAACAAGTCGCCGGTATCCTTGACCGTAGGAAGTTCTTACTACGGCAAAGCTAACAATAAAGTAGTCACGCCGACCAAATATATCGGCAAAGAGGAGAAATGCCTCGATATCGGAGAATATACCAGCGACAAGTCGGATATTTTGCGTCACAAGTACAGCGGTTTGTCCCCAAAAGAATACTCTCTCGTCAGAAGCACGGACTACGACAAATCCTTGGGCACGTTGCCGCATCTTGTCATGGAATCGGAACCGGATATTGGCTCGTATCTGCCGACGAGGCATCGCGACTACAACGTGCTGTCACCCAGTCGCCAATACAGAGACCAATATTACCCTTCAAGTCCGAATCATTACACTCCGAAGCTCTCGCCGAATCTAGTGGAAGAAACGACAAGACCGGTCGCTTCACAGCCAGAATCCCCGAGCAAAATGAGTGTCGGAAAGTACGGAGACCTGACAAGCAAGGGGTCGAACTGTTACAAGAAGTCGACATTAACACTCGGACATCTTGAAAGTGCGGACAAAGATAACGAGAACGCGGACACGACTCCCAGTCCTAAGGCGCACTTCAGTCCTTTTCCAGTTAGAAATAATAGCAGAAAGCCGAAAGAACTGACGTTGAAGTTGGGCCTGTATTCACCAAAGAGCTCCGATTTTGGTCAACTGAAGAAGTCATAGTGCTCGGCAAATTGTCGAAGCGACCAAGCTCTCGACCTACACCTACGCAATTCGCACGTCGGCTGGTTCGTCATCACGGAAACGGAAATCTACTACAAACATGTTCGCTAAATCTAAGTTGTATGTCAACGGATTCCTACACTTTTCACGATGCAAAGCATAATCAATGCGTTTTTTCAGCGAGTCCGTTTATCAATTTTCCAAATTTAACAAAGTGGGCCTAACTCATCGCCTAAATATTTCGTAAGTCGTATAAACATAATGAGACCGATACTACCATAAGCAAACAGAAGATAAGCTTAATTAGTTTTAACATGTTGAACATAGCCTTATATATAAGATACTATAATTATATAAAATAAATTATAATTATATATAAAAATAAAGTAATTATATATAAAATAAAGACGTGTGAGTTTCACAGTGCTCGAGTCGGACAATTGTGAAATTTATATTGACGGGGCCGGAGAGAGATCAGACGCTAATGCGGAAGTAACACATAAAAGTGGATACACAAAAGCCCGCCGTTATTTCGCAATCGCGATAAGTGCGAAATAATATCTCCATAAATGCAATTAAATTTGGGAATATTGCTGAAACAATATATCGTGCGTAATTGACGCGATTACAAAATAGCAAATCCGGACAAAGCAGATTAATGATAAATCCAATCCCCATATTCGGCCGCGCGTTTCTCGCTTCCTGTCCTTTATTTCATCATTAAAAGATAATGCGCACTTCACGCACATTCGATTATTCAGATTTGTTCGGGATTTTTTTGTTAAAAAAAAAAAAAAAAAAGAATCCGAAGAACGTTAACGTACGATAAAATGCCCGCGTTTAATCGCTGAATTTACAATTAAATGCCTTTGATTCCCTCCAATGTTATGCCGAAACATTTTCTTACAAGACAACTTCCAAACCGACGCTACGCAATATATTTAAACCTGTACTGTTACAAATCAATATATTTATCCGAAGAAATGTAACAAACTATTATTCTCGCTTTTCTTAAACGTGTCGCGCTACAGACACGGTTCTTATAAACAAAACAAAATGTCTGCAGTATGACAGAATTTTCTCGAACAAACAAAACCAATCGATTATGATGTAAACGGTTGACAAACGGTATGAATCTGCGTAACTCTAAGCGAATTGTGCACCACAAATTAGATATAAAACAAAGGCGGAGAAATTGTACATAATTTTTAAGTATATTGATTATACTTGAATTACAGAAGAGGAACAAAACCCTTCACACAAAAATCTTTTTATATAAAAGTAGTATTTTTAGATGTTTCTAAACGAACGAGAGTGTCTACACTCTGTTGCAGTATTCGGCAATCAGCTTGCTTGAAGTAGGCTGCGGCTTAAGAGCGCGAGTAGTAGTTAAGAACTTGTTGCTACACGAGTTTGCATCCTTGCTGACAACACAAAACGGCTTCAATTCGACACGTAAGCAAAAATTGCATTGTAAGAGACCCGGTGCGGGACAGATATCTGTTTTGTCGCGGAACAATTCGAAAAATGTGGCTTTCTCATTAAGATATTCACACAACTTGGTTTTTTTTTAACATAAGACGCTTCTGCAACTTGCTTACAGTAGTACGTGGAAAATCGTTCATCTCTTGTTAAAATTCTCAGATCAACGCGTCAAAAATCCTAACACACAGCTTGTAGTCAGTCTAGTAGATTTTTTCCCCAAAGATTAATTATTAGAGAATATTTGCCCAATCATCTGTGATAGTTTAGAGAACGAGATAACACACACACTTACACGATGTTAACTTATTAGAATGTTTATCATAGAGCAATTATTAATTTAAGCACACATTCTCTTTTAGTAACAACACCTTGCCAATGTTTACTTTTTTTTCTTTTTTTCTATTGGTATTACGTCTAATTTTTTAACGTAACAATGTCAATCAAACTCATTATCAATGACGATTTTCTGAGTATACATTTTAAAATTCTACTTGGTATACATGCATACATACTAAACCACTATCCATAAAAAAGAATTAATAACACATTTTTCACTCTCTCTTCTCTCTTTCTCTCTCTCTTACGTCCATACTTTAAAGATACAACAATATACTTGTCAATTGCGATGTAAGAAAACTATTAATAAAAAAAAAAGAAATCGTTACTAAAAAAAAAAAAAGAACTTCAGGCACAAGTATTATATAAATTTGCGCGTGGGAGCTTTTATATATGACGTTGTAATAAAGTTCTTCTCGCGTTTTCTTTGACTTATATAAATATATATATATAATATTAATGCGAGCGTGTGTGTATTATATAGATATATATATAGATTACATAGAATATCTGATAAACTTTTCAGTGCTCGTTATACGCTGCATCGTAGGGAATATATTGCGCACTTGAATGGTTTTTGGAGTGCGTAGAAAATGTAGCATTACCTTTGTTTCGGTTACAATATAGACGACGAACATTGAATTCCAGAGAAAAAGAAAAATCCGAAAGTAGTTCCACACACAGATGCCTGTGAAATATAGAAAGTATTCGTAAAGGTGCTGGGAGAGACACGGCGACACACTTAAAAATAGTTACAAAGATATATATATATATATAGTTTAAATAAGAGAATATATTTAAATGCTTATATTGAGTAAATTAGTGGAACTAAAGCATTGTTAACGCAGTTGCTATAATATTACGAGTTGTCAATGTCGCGCGTTTTTGCATTCTCCGTCATCCAGAAACTTAGGTTCACTTTGTTATATATATAAACACACATTTTAAATGAGAAATAAAACTGCTCGACAATATGTACACTTAATTCAGTTGTTTGCGAACTTTTACTCAAAAAGCTTCTCGACGGAGTGCTTTTCGATACTTAACGAAGAATACGTTGAAATATGTGTGAATACACGTAGTGTTTTTCTACTGGATCAAGAAAATCAGAATCGGTTAGAATATGATTGTGACAAATATGATTGCGTACGTAAAGCCTTAATGAAGGCTTCGCGCGTGATAAAAATGCAAATCCTATGCGAGCGTCTCGTTCGAAAAGATGAGAAAATTGTATTTAAGGGCGCGAATGCGTGTGCAGTTGTTACGTGATGATGTTTTGAGAAAATTATTGTACATACATGCGAGTCATGTCAGATATAAGACTGTATATTTGAAATGCAAATAGAAATAATTAAGTCGTTAAGTGAATAAAGAAAAACTGAAAATAAATATATTGAGAAAGTAAATATCCCACGTGTGATTTGAGATTATTACTCCACAAAAAATCTTTAGTTTCAATTATAACTAAATTAAGATATAAATATTAAACTACGAACAATTCGCACACACATGTTTGATATTGATTAATTTTTCTTTCCCTTAATAAATATTTTCGATTAATCTTCTATACTAAAGTTATTGTTTACGTATGATATCTTGTTGCTTTCGTTAATCCAGTTGTATTTTGGGATTTTTTTATTTTCTCGCGATTTTTACAGTTGCCTCCATTATTTAGCACCCATCGCGCGCTTGTGGAAAAAAAGAAGAAAACACTTCGGTTAACAGATATTTTTGATTTACTAATAGTTTCGCAGTATAATGGTCTTTTGTGTGATATCTCTTTTTATTTTTATATTAATTTTGTTACAATACGCGGCAGCGTAGCTGGCGATGTGTAATGTGAAATCTCGGTTACTTCATTATGAAGCCCGAAGCAGTCGGGCGCCATAAACGTGATAATAATATTCTCCGCATTGGCGAAAAAATAGTACTTACTCACACACACACCTCTATGCAAAGAGGATGGCGGTCCGATTACCGTTCGCAAAACTGCTCACTCTCCCCCGCAACGGCCGCGTACTCGTGCTCGAGTGGACATTTCATTTCGCTAACGTGATTACACGCACTCATGCGTCGAGGATTGCGGATTCGTTTTAATTGGGATTACATTTCAATTAAAACCTCGTCCCCATTAGAGAGAGAGAAGGCCGCGTTGAATTTCGGAAAGGGACGCTAGCGGTGGGAAGAGGGAGGGAAAAGAGAGAAAGAGTGAGGAAGTGGGAGAGAGGTGGCGAGTAATTGATACGGGCGACGCGCGCGCGTTATCTGAGCGCGTAAGCGCCGTCGCGGATAAAATATGCATGTTTGCCAATCAAGAGGTGTTCGGGGTTACATGTCCGCCGGGCTCTCTCGGCAAACACGCGATTACGAAAGCTTCGGCGGGCTAAACGGGCAAGCAAACAAACGAAACCTTTGACCCAGACCCGTCCAAATAATCGGCGAATCGGAAAGTACTCCGGGCTCGCGCGATTCCGCCGGGCGATTGGACAGAGCGATGCTCGCCGGTGCGGAACACCGAGGCTTCCTCTGGCGATACTACAACGCGGTGCCGCTAGTTGCCGCATAAATTAGTGCGTGAATTATGCAACACGGTCGTTTTATTAAAGAGGTGAGGTTTGATAAGCACACTTTGTCGCGGTTCCGCCGAGCGCGAAACGCTCCCGCCGGCGGGACGGTTTTACATTTTATTAGTACGAGCAAAGTTCGACGTTATGCGCCACCGTGTTTTACACACTCAACTTGTGTAGGCGCTGCATATTTTTTGCCCGGTTTTTCGCCCGCGTTTCATTGCCGAGCCTTGCTGATTTTTTTCTCAGCCTCACCGACGATTTTCCCTGGACATTTCGGTGAATCCGTTATTGCCAGCGCAACATGTTTGCCAATTTGTCCGTTCGATGATATTATCTAACTGAGCGATTTATCCACTTGACAAACTGACAATTCGGCAATTTAGCCATTGTGAGATACGTTCATTTTGCCGATTTGGCGCGATCCTATCGAAACTTCTATCTGACTGTTTTTAACATCACGCCACGCTGTGTACGTTACGCAATAATTCACAATATATCTGAGTTAAAAATATCTGATAAAACATTTTCCTCATATTTATTTTATATAACAGTTACACAATAAATAATATCGTTTTTCCGCCAAAAAGTTGTAGTTCATATTTCTCAAATAATAAATATAATTTTGTGTATCAAGTTTAATTATCAAATCGCGTGCTCAATCTTGTGCAATTAAATTCTAGGAGAAAAAAATTAAATTTGATAATTTGGCTTCGGAAAACCAATTTTCACGTGAAAAAATAAACGTTTCATATTACATCAGACGTCATCGTCGAAATTTCGTTTATTCGCGAAACAACGCGTGCATCAATCGTTTTTTTTTTTTTTTTTTTTGTATCGATCACGCGAAACATGCGACGTGTTGCTCTCACATGGGGCGTCGTCGTCATATTTCGCCGAGCTGCCTCACAATGATCGGTGATTCCTGAGATTAATGCGCAACGTATCATTAGATTTCGAGAAGCTTCTGTCGAGACTGGCGAGGCCAAACCGCGTCGAATACTAGGTAACCCTCGCAAGATGCATTCGCCGAGTGATGCATCTATTCGCAACTCGAGCGCGCATATACATATATATATATATATATATATATATATATATATAGATACGTACATACGTACGGTAATATGTACCTAACCCGTTATGGAAATGAGCTCGGAGGATGCGCGCGCATTCCGGCGACATCCTCTGCATCGGTAATATGCTCCTCTCCGTGTCCTTCCTATCCTTCCCATGGCTTCCGTCGCGCTTCTTGTCACCGTATTATAGTGGCCGACAGTGCATCTTTGGTGCCGCTAAATCCGGACACAAGAATCCTATCGCAGAATCGGAGCAGGACGCGAGACGTTTCTTGTCGTGACCGAGGATAACGAGGATTTCAGGTCGCACTGTCGCTCCTGATTTAAGAGCCGGGCTACTCGTGTTTTCCTCCCCGTGGCGTACGCGGTGTAACGTAAAAGTTCCGCGGGATTTCGAACTCGGGACATTAATCTCTTGCTCGTTTTCACGGGAAGAGCTCGGATATCATTCTTGGCAACTTTGAAATTTGGCGGATTACGTAACTCGTTCGGGAGAACGAGAGAAACGTTCCTCTTTAGAATTGGAAATATATTCCTTTAAGTTAATTACAACGTCGCTTCTCTTATTTGCTCATCTGTATCTTATTTCTTTCAACGTACTTTTCAATCATTTTTGATCAGATAATTTAATTGTTGCTCCGTCAAAATGTTAAATAATAAAGACAAACTTACCTGCGAATATGCGCACACGTGAAAAAAGAGAAAAGTGGGTCAGACAATTTGTCTTCAAATAAAATTGTCCTGTTACAATGTCGTTTTTTAGGTTTATTCATCTGTTCGTTATTCCTCGGTCGTGTACTTACATATATGTATATATGTATATATTGTATATATAAGAAACTGGCAATGTTCCCACTTACAATTCTTTGGTATTTCGTTGAATTCCGGCAATGTACCGAACATGTATCTACATTCATTGTATTGGGGGACGGATTAATATACATTAGAATGCCAGACTCATTAATCTCCGTTCTTTGCGTCATAAATTATAGCACCATACTTGGCAACACGGTATTTCGCCATGCAGTTATTTCTTGAAAGATAATTACGTAATTATAACTATAATATAATGCTATTATCGCTTAAGCCGTTAATTGTATGTCAGATGAAATGAAAAAGTGCATCCCTCTAACTCTCGTGAAAGTAATGAAGAGGGTAATTTCCACTTGCAATCACTCTTTTTAATTCTTTTTTTATTCTTTTCATTATTTTTTTTTTTTTTTTTTTGCGAAATATACGAGCACACTCGCAATTTTTTATACACCTTTATAAAACTGAAGTAATGTACGGGAAAACAAAAACTTAATATTTTATGCAGAAAAAAAATTTGATACGAAGATAATGAAAAAGTGCGATCGGATATCCACATATAAGTTACACATTCGATCGAGTTCGCTGAACTCTCAAAAATTCTACGAAAACCAGAGAGAAGCGTCCGAGCTAATATATCGACTCCGAGCTTCACGATATGAAATATAAATCATATCTGGAACTGATTCTTCTACTTGTGAAAAATATACGGGAATACTTTGCACTTCTGAAATACGACGATAGTTGATATAAGAAAATTTCTCATATAAAATTGTAATGACAGAATATCTCATGCCGTGGTCGTGTCGCGTTTTCTGAGAGAAAGTCTTTTTAGAAACTTATGTAAAAATTCTGAACTTTTAAGTGTGATTACTTTATATATCTTCTCCCGAAGTATATATTATGGCAGTATGGAGTTTTATGGCACAATCAAATGAGATACATCGTGTAACTTATAATTAATAAAATGTTGCTCTCCAGTCTAACTTTATTTCTCCTATTTTTCTGTCTCTCTTTCTCTATATATATATAATACATAACAAAATTGCATGAAAAATATTTTCTTTAAAAAACTAAATATTTTAAGTAGATAAGGTTGTTACACTTTGATCACCTCCGCATACAACCACTTTTGATAAAACGTAAGCACAAATCTCGTGAAAACCGTACCAGTGTTGATACAAGTCAGGAACGATGCGGAAACCAATCTGATGCCCGTTGGCAATCAATTGATATCAACAGGATACATATACATACATATACGCGAGTTACATGGCCTGCCAACTAGAATTATGCAATCGAATAACATAGTCGTTCAACTATTATGTAACAGCAGAGCGACTAACTTCTGCACAATGGCGGAGTGACAATGCCAGAATCCGTTCCTGTTCCCATTCGCGTCCCAGCGCGACAACAGTCAAGTGACAAGCACTCTCCCGAATTCTGCTCGGATACTAATTGTCGCGCGAACGGAACTGCCCGCAATCGCTCGTCGTTAGTTCGCGCAGTAACCCTTAAATGCGTAATTCGCTTTGGCAAACGACATAGATATCGTTTAAATTAATTTTTAATCGACACAAGCATTTTTAATTTAAATGCGCGAAGATTTATTAACAATCAATATTTGAACGAGCGGCTTCATGATTTGTCGGATACGCTATCGGATAGCGCGTTTACAATTTTAATGACAAGAAAGAAAGACTCGCACAAGTGCTATTTGCCGTGGATCTACAACGCGTAATGCATTTAAGAATTAAACCTTCAAATTCGAGTGTATTTACATTTTGACATTTTTTCAGTTGGCGAATTTAAGTACAACTTTGCGGATAATGAGAGAAAATAAACTTAAGTGTCATCGAGCTTCTTCAAGATTGTCTTGCAAAGAGAAGTTACATTGATTTATTTAAGGAACAGAGATGAATTTTCCTTTGCTACAATATTCTGGATATTATAACCGTTAACGAGATCGTCATGATTACCACAGCAGAAGTGAATATTTGATCGCAAATATTAACGATGTCGACTAATATCGCGGCTTAATGAAATATTCGATAAGTTGATCTCTGCATGTGACGCAGGTACGAGAGGTTCAATATCAAGCTGATGCTATAAGCCGGTGCACCGTGATATGTGAAATGGAACTTTCAAACATTTCCGGTGCTGTCACTTTTCATTTGCTAATTAACCGATGGGTCATTTAAACACGCGCATAAACATAGAAATTGATGACATACGCGGATATAAATTGTCATTTCATGATGGATTTTCTCAAATATCATGCAGTAAAGTTAATAATAATCATATTTTTAGATAAATAATGTATACGTGTATAAAACGTAACTTGTTTATTTCTCTTAATAAATAAGTTATATTTAGTGTTTAGATGGTTTTATAAAATATGTCGACCACAAGTATACATAATGATCTCGCGACCTAAGAGCTGCGAACGTGATCCCGAATTCGAGTTTGCTCAACATCTTGGGATTTTTTTTCAGGTCGGTCTCTTTCAATTGAGTTTATCGATTGAATAAAATCCCTCATACGGATAATACCACTTTCTGACTAAAAATAACAGCTTTTGGAAAAGCTATGCTGTCAGAATTTTTCAGCGTTAATCTACTATATTCGGCGAACAGTTTCAGTTATATTAGAGTTTATTAAAAATGTTTTTACGAATGTTGTTCGCAAGACTGTATATTTCGAACAGAAAACAATATCGTACTTATAAATTTATTTTTATTACAATTACTTTTATTAGATTCGTGTTACATAATCATAATAAAATTTTTGCTCTTATATATATACATATATACATATAAATATATAAATATATATATCACATATATTAATTTATATTTATTAATTTGTAACTTTTACCAAATATATATAAGAGTAGTAATGATATTTGTTCAGAAAGAAGATAAAAAAAAAGAGAACGAAAGAGAGAAGAAGAGCAAAAGAGGAGAATAGTGATAAAAAATTTTAATTTAAAACACGTCAATATGTGTGATACGAAGGATGTACACACATTATACATTCAAACGTGCATTTCAGAGCTAATAATCGTCGTGATTTTAATTCAGATAAGAACAAACGTTCTTTTTTTCAAGCTGCATTAACATTGATACATCGGCATTGCAACTGATGCGAAAATGCTCGTACCGAATATAAACAGGTATGCCATGCGCATTGCTTTCTTTTATTCCACGAGGTGGAATTATCGACGTACTGCTGTTATTGAAAAAAGTTGCTTCACAACAAGAATATGATAGACGTGCAAGTGAAAAAGCATTCATTCATTTGAATTACCATGCTTGTTGACTACAAAGAAACATACAAGTTGTTTATAATTATAGTATTTTGCAATTATTTGCAAAACAGAGAGAGAAAGAGAGAGAGAGATAGAGAGACAAAAAATATAATAATAATATAAAAATCTTAATATTGCAATAAATTAAAGAAAAAGTGTATTTTTATTTTTAAAAACAACATTTTCACGCTCTCTCTCTCTCTCTCTCTCTACACACACACACACACACACAAAACTTAACAAAATTAAATTCTATTATATTAATTATCTACTTATTATATTAATTAAATTTTTCAAAGCAGATGCTACGTGTAACGCTAAAAAATGATAATCGGTAGATTGCATCGTGATTTTTTTATGAGCGCGATCGTTTGATCGATGTACACAGTTGTCATCAATGTAATTCTCCGAACGATGATTTTCGACATACGAGCCGTTCGGAGCTCGACTTAACCGTATCATCAAACCTTGATCGAGCATCTTAATCGATTTACTAGCGATGCATCAAGCCCGCGGACCTACATAAAATCATAATGGCTACCTTTATTCGCCGAAAGTGGCGATTAATGGTCCTCTTCTCCAAGAAGTTTGAACACTCGGCGTGTCTCCAAAATACGGTCGCGCAGCACCTGCCATGCTGGATTACACCTTACTTTGGTTGGCAGTTGCCGCGCAGACCGTATTCTCGTAATAATGCAAATTCTTATCGCACGCGCATCGCCTCCGTAATACCGGCAAATTGCGCGACAAGCTGCGGCCAGCAAAGCCTCTCAGCAAACGCGGATTATTAATTGTGTGTGACAATGGAAATGTAAAACCCTCCAACTGCAATCTGAAAAATAGTTGATACATACGCAGTAAAATAGTAAAACAATACAATATGTAAATTAAAAAAAAACACAGTTTTCGGCCACGTTCTAATACGTAACAAAATTGAATGATTTAAAAATGGTTAAAAACACATTAACTGAATGTTAATTTAAACGTTTTTTTCATAATGATGTTTTTTTTCGAATATATGTAAAAAAAGCATAACGTAATACGGAGAAATGTCTTTACTATTCTGAAGATCTCGGTCTAAACACAATTTGAACGTGATTGCAAATAAATAATTGAATTAAAATATAATCTTATAATAGTTTACATTGTTTTTTTTTTTTTTTTCAATTTGCATGCGTATAGTAAAAAGTTAGTCTCACTCTTAATGAGTTTACTGTCTTTGCCCGGAGGTTTACGGTTTTATCTGGTCTGTGTTAATAACGGCTATACAAACCCGTTTTATAGGTGTATCAGTAAAATATAAGCGCCGGCGCTTGCTACGTGCTTGATAATGCCTGTTATGTACAACACGATCATGCGGTGGACCCTTGTGTTCATTAGTGGAACGTGGCTAGGAAAATTCATTTTTCGCTGCAGTGTCCGCTTGTTGGCGGCCGTTGAAATGAGTTTTTACGCTGCACCAGCTTTGACGTGGCAAATAACAAAATCTATGTGCACTTTAGTACACGTGTAATGATAAAATAAACGGCCGAGTTTCTCATCAAATTTCGCTATTTACACGCTTACTACGCAAATATTACGTAAAATGTGTTAGTAAGGTTTCAAAGCTCCAAAGTTTCAAGAAGTTTAAACCGTCTTTTCAATGATAAAATTTAACTAGAAATGATGTTTTGGCAAATTTACATGCACTTGAAATTACATTACCTGTCCGAAACTCAAGATGATTTTCTGACACTCACTGACAGTGAGAAGTGACATTTCTACGTCCTTCTTCAACGTGATTATGAGATCAAATCTAACTACTAAAATGTATGTAATAAAAACTAACAAATAAATAAAAAATCATAAAAAATAAAAACCAGTAAGGTGAAAGCTAAATGCGTCAATATATAGAAATATGTAAATATCGATGTATGTAAATTATTAATTTTTTTATTCAAGTAATATTATACGTTTCAGTGTTTAGATCAGTGAACTAAATAAAAAAAGAGAAGAAGCACAGAATAAATTGCAATATAATATTATTTGAATAAAAATAATAATTCACATACACCGACATCTTTGTATATTGGCTCGCATTTGCCTTTCATCTTTCTGTTTTTAAATAAAAACTATATATACATGAATATTATTTTACTTCAAATTCACACAAGTTGCGTATTTTGAAAAGATAAAAAAAATTATAAAACGACAAAACTTCTTTTGTTTCTTCAAATGTTTACAACAAAGCGTTTCGATATACATTGACGCAATTGAATTGCAGTCTTGAGCAAAATCAGATAACTTTGTACGCAAGTTGTGTGCGATCGGCTCAATAAAGCTCATATAATGTCGCGCGAGAAATGTAAAAATCTCGTCGTTTTCTCGTCTCCCTCGCTCTCCCCTTTCTTACTCGGCATCAATTCCATTCAGAGTTTGCAACACGAAATTGGTTTCGCTGACAAGCGCTCCAAACTAAAAGCGGTCGACGGTACCCGAAAATTACATTTTATCCGGTCAAAGCAAACTTCCTCAACAATTCCCGCGGCGCGTATTGGATGGAGGGGCAAAAGAGGGCGCGAAACCGCACGAACTCAAAGTGCCACCGACCGAAAGATAAAAGAATACGACGCGAGGTAGGATCGGCGGCAGCATCGTTTTGTGTGACGCGGGAGAGCAAACTCTTCCGCCGAGGAGACGAGGAAAGTATAAGAAGTCACGCGTGCATCACGCGTCAGCTCCTTCGCCCGGGATTGCGAAGTTCCTCGCGGTGGAAAACTCATCCGAAACTATTTGCTCCGGCTGCGCCCGCGGAAAGTATGTCTGAGAAGACTACGTCTTTTTATATCGCCGAGTTTCCGTGCAGGATTACCCTCCTTTTATTACTGCGGATCAAAAGGAGGGTGGACGCGATCGCCTTACTTTCTACTTACTTTACCTCCCGAGGAGGTTGTCGTTAACGTAACGACCTTTAGCGAAAAAAAAAAAGAACAGAGCATCATTACAAAGCGGAATATCAATCGTAAAATTCGCCATCTTGAGGTAAAGTGGGAATAGAGAGAGAAAGAGAGAGAGAGAGAGAGAGAGATTACTAACAATAAGAGACGTCTATTCTAAAGATTGCATATCGGTGTCTGTTCGTAATTTGATCTCCGCGAGAATACAGATCAAAAGTAGATTTATCTTCGTTGTGCGCGAAAGACCGCGGATCTTCTTTCAGCGAGAAGTCCGAGAGTTTTATTTCTCATGATAAGCACTAAAAATTGCGCTTCTTAATTTTTTATATAACGATCCCTTTTCTGTAGAACTTCTCAAACCTCAGGGGGATTATCCGAGGTTTGAATAAAGAAACCTTTCTTTTCTAAGAAACGAATGCCGCATGCGTGCTACTGTCCTGAAAGAGATATATACAGATATATATATAGTATATATATATGTATATACCGCGATGAAAGAAAACCGCGCGTTTCCTTAGGCGGACAAGCCGCAGCGATACGCATTCGCGCGATTCGGCTGCTCGCACGCCGGCGAATAAATTACGCGCCATTTTATTCGCGTCTTCACGCAAATGGAACGCACAAAGGCAGCCTGGAGACTCCGCAGCCTCGAATGGCGTCGCAAAGACCGGATGCGCCGCGAAAAGAAGCGCATCCTTCGCGCGCGTACGCGAACGGTTTTAAAAACCGTCTGCACGGTTCGCACACGCTGGTCGCGCGCGCGCCCATTCAACCGCGAGATCGCGATAAAACGCGGGGCGCAATTTATATGTAGTTGTGTCAAGGATTCCATTAACGTTTCAACATATAAGGGTCGCGTCAGTTTTTTGCACGACTCGAGATTTGTACATATCTATTACCTTTTTCGTAAAGAAAAGTTTTTCAATTTATGAAAAACGATCGCTTCTACAGATCATTTCTTCTAAAATTTCAAATTTCAATTTTTGTTTCCGTTTTCTGTTATCTTATTGTGGAATATCTATTTTT